GCTTTTAACTGGGTGGGCACGATTCGACTATAGAAGGTGTTACTGGTAAAGAGTTGTCAAACTACAATACTGGTGGTTTCTTTATGGTTATTTCTGTTCCACTAATTTATCAGTGAAATTTTGGTCCACTCCTAGATATCAAAGTATTTAATGATCTAGAATGTCGCATTTGCTTGCAAATGTTTCTAAGTGATTCTCACAAATACCGTGGTACAGGTGATTGAGGAGAGTCAGCTCACTCTACCGGAATGCCATCACATGGCCACGCGAATATAACTACTTCCATGGAAGTCCTACTCACTGCCTTCTCGTGGCGTTACTGTTGTTCACAAAATTGAGGGAACAAAAAGCGAATGTCTGGAGCTCTAGCGGGATTGGTGGACACAGAGTTTCGACCTTATGGGAGTTGTAAAGCCCGAATTTCAAGCCATTCGTTCATATGGGCTTCAGAATCCTAGGGAAACAAATAGCGTATGAACCTATTGTTGGTAACCGTCTCCCATGAGACTACATCTTCTAACAATGCTCCACTGTCTTGTGGATTAAACATTTAGGTCGAATTGCGGCCCCTAAGTAAACAACATGTTTCGGTCTTGACATTTGGGCAGCATGACAACACACACAGAAATAAAATTAAATGGCAATTACTACTGGGAATACCATTCTAGCTTCCACTAATATTCAAACAATTCACATTCGTTTGATAACCTTAATTTTTATTATTTTTTATGTACTACACTTCTTATCCGCTCCTTTCTATTCTCACTTTTGTGAGAATAGATGTACCACCTAGCGTCCACCCTCTGCATCTAAAGCCTGGACCCAGATTGATCATATCGCGATCAGCTACCTCTGGTGTGGTTGTGTACAAGACTTCAGCTCCATTTGAAATGGCTATATGAACTCTGACCATGCTTTTTTTGACTGTCTATCCGAATTCTGATTGTCCATCTCTGCGCCAATCTTACCTTACTTTTCAGTGACCAACGAATTCATAGTCCTAAACGGATCGATGTCAGAAAAACGGTCGCAGCTTCTGTTGCAACTAAATATGAAACTCAGCTAAGTTCAGAGCTAGTTAACAACTCACCTAAAAGTATAGATGAACGTTGATTGCGATTGCATGACGCCATGAAAATGGTGAGTAAAGGAGTTTGTGGCTTCGTGAAACATCTCGCTTATAAGCAATGGGCTACTTCAAGCTCCTTAAAACTCACTGAAGCCCGTAGGTCTACTCTGGGTGATCGTGGGTATGACCACAAACGAAGGCTGATATGTGATATAATTGTGAAACAAGCCGTGAGGATGACAGGATGACAATCACTAGCATCTATCGACATGGACGATGGGTAGGATTCTCCGAACAGCAGTTCAACTGGCCTGCAGCTCCGGCAGCATCGATCAGACTGTCTTGTCCTCTATGGCTTGTGGCAACTGCTCTCCTAGATGAGGTGGAAGTTCACAAGGAACTTCAGCTCTTGAAACGCTACAAATCAACAGACCAAGATGACTTACCTCCAGCTCTTTTTAAAGATGGTGTTGACTTTCTGAATGAGAAACCGACTACATTATTTGCAAAGTTTTGGCAGTTAGAGCGTGTTCCAACATCATGGAACGAGTCGACAGTTGTCCCAATCTTTAAAAAAGGTTCATGTCGTTTCTGTCACAACTATCGGGAAATAAGTCTACTTCCGATGGCGTCCAAACTATTGGCTTCCGTCGCACTTAGCAGATTGTTCAAAACTCGAGAAAGATTTACTCGCAAGAAGCTGGCTGGATTTCGTACTGGTCGAGGATGCATTGATCACATCTTTACCCTCCGTCAAATGTTAAAACACCGTCATACTTATCACCGACCAACAATCGTAGTGTTTCTTGGCATCAGGGCTGCCTTCAATTCGTTGGATGGGACTGCTCTCTGGAATTGTCTATTGAAGAAGGGTGTGCCCCAAAAGTTTATTAACATGCTAAGAGCGCTATATACAAAACACCTCAAGCAGAGTGAGGGCATACAACCACCTTTCTACACTGATTTATTCAAGCAATGGGGTTAAACAAGGTTGCCTGATCTCACCATTTCTCTTCAACTTTGCAATCGATGACATTCTAGAAACAGCTCTGATGGATTCAAGTAATGGCGGTGTGGGTCTGTTGCCTGAAGAAAGAAAAAACTGTATATCTGAACGAATGAACCGCTATCAACTTTTGTATATTATATTTACCAAACAACCCTGCTTAGGATGCATACTGTGGACCAGTGTATGTTGTAACTTGTAGATCATGCCTGTAAAAATGGCGTGTACCTGCCCTTGCAGAAATATATTATTATTACTTCTCGACCTTGAGTATGCGGATGATATTGTCTTACTGTGCGATAATGCCCAGCCATGCAATCCGTACATAATCAGTTGCAATTAGTGTCCGTAGGTATTGTACGTGCTTTGCACCTTCCAAGTGCAAAGTACTTCTACAAGACTGGCAGGACCCTGATTCTGTACTTACCGTGGGTACTGATCAGATGGAAGTAGTTGAAAAGTTCGTGTATTTAGGTAGCTGCTGATAGTGGCGTGAGTGATGAGATCGATGCACGTATAGTGAAAGTCAAGGAGGCTTATGCCTATCAGAGCCATCCTTGGCGCCTTCATGGTGTTAGTCTGGCTGTAAAAGCTCGGATCTACAACGCGTCGGTGAGAGCAGATTTGCTCTATGCTTGTGAAACCTGGCTCTCCGAGTTGAGGGTTTTAGATGACTCTCTGTGCTCGATCATCGTTGTCTCCGAAGGATTGCTGACACCCAGTGGCAACACGATGTTAGTAATGCAGAGGTTCGGCATCATATGTTCGGACGCAAAGAGATAATTCAGTTAGTGTCATGATCTTGAATCATCGACTTCGGTAGCTTGTACATGTTGTACGGATGTCTTCTCCGAGAGTTCATGGTTGTGCATTATTTGCCGACTCTGGGACTAGTTGGAAAAAATGGATAGGTGGTCAGTGTTCGACATGGTGTCGTGGTATGAAAGAAAGCTGTACAGCACTGGCTTCTGTTGACCCTTTTTGAATCCCTGGTTTCGGCTAGAGAGGTGGTGCGACACAGTATCTAGGGTCGTTATCAGATATGGCCGAGAAAAGAGGCCAGTGGCGATTCTGTTGTGATCCTCTTTTACTTTCCTCATATAAAGTGGCCTTAAATTCTTTGACTGAAACAATTCTTACTGGTTTTATCTTTCTGTCTCTCCTAATAATAATATTTTTTTCACTACGATACACTAATTTGTGGTCGTTACTGTTCTTTCTTCTTTTATACACACCTTGCACTATCTCTTTCGACTCTCATTGTTATTGTGTGGCACATATGTATCTGGTGTCCCCTTGTACCAATATTAGTCTGTTCAAATCAGTCAATAAATAAGATGCTAAGTGCATTACGGTGCATATCGAGCACAAAAGCGAACGTACAAACCAGGAGAAAAAACACGGAGCTTCCGGTAAACTGGAAAAACAATGATCGACGAGTCATCGCTAGCCAAAACTTAAAGACTACAGTACATTACCGCGCAATAGCTGTTAAAGGCATTAGAACCCTATGGTCAATATGCAATGACTTGTGCCATATCGATGCTGGAATCTTTTCGACTTTGTACAAAGTATTCTTCAGTCTTAAAGTCGAATAATTCATACAAGTTTACAATCAACTGACCACTTGGTTTTGATCAACGTTATGTACGTCATGTGCGTTCTGTTGAGTAACCAGTATCTTGATGCATACAAGTAGCTAGCTGTAGAGTTCGTCCAAACTGAAGATTCCTTTGCCTTTGATGAATGACTGAATTCGAATTCCAAATACAATACGTCCGTTCGTGCTCATCTAGTACGCCTTAGGTAAATTACTTTATTTCTGGGAATCCTAAATTGCACAATTATTTAAATACTCAAAATTACCACATTGTCGTTGGGATGGAGCCTGAGATGGAACAGTTTGGCATTCATTCAACTTCTTAAACTTTTGAAGACTACACGAAATGGTTCGAAATATGGGCTATGACCAAGAGAGATGCTGAGGATATTAATATTGTGGATCATCTCTTTACATTCATCCGAAAAAAAGCATATAGATTAATAAACATACTGGCATTTCCAGACAAGCCGATTTCATTCCCACACGCAGCTCTCAAGCAACTACTACTGTACCATGTAGAGTGTAGGAATTACGAGTACGGTAAGAAAGGGAAATTTCATTAAATGATTAGTCAGGTCATCAGGAATTCCACCACTTTACTACTTTGTCCCAGTCCAATGCGCAATCAAGTTTATTCAGATAACAACTGACTAAGACGTTGTGAGGTAGACCACGAAAATGAGAACAAGTGTGGTAAATGCTTGTTCTGTAGCAAGTTTTACCCATGTATTTCATGTGTATCTCGTAATTCTAAATGCTTTAATTGTGGTATGATCGGACACATACAGGCAATGTTTGTACTACTATTCACTTTGCTGAAAGAAATACTCAATTTTGTGATTTTGGTCATATTAAGTTACGTGTTTATAATAATCATGCCCTCATTTTTCATGTCTTCCAAACAGAGAATTTACGAGGACACTAGAGTAGTCCACAAGACGAATTACTTGTCCACTGACCATAGATTTTCTCATGGAATACTAAAATGAAGGACATCTAATTCTTCGATAAATGATCGAAGCGCTATCTGTTCATGCTCTTTGAATGAAGTTGAATAACGTTAGAGACCACTAATGTCAGATCAAGCACTAGCTCTGCAGCCAGTTGTTCTTTTAAACTGAAATGGGATGAAACACTGTTTGTCAAGTGTGCATTTAAGTTAAATATAATTAGAACAGAATATAATATGTGATCGTGGTTTTTAATAAATAACCATTATCATTATGCGATAACACAATTTCGTCTTGTTTAACTTTATCACAACACATCATGATTAAATTCCATCATCTTCAAACTCGTGATTTCAGAAAGTACGCACGCAGATGTCTTCATGCAGACAGAACTATCATGAAGAGTGTGAAGCTGGTGTTAATAAGCAAATTAATATGGAACTATATGCCAGCTATGTTTATATGACTATGGCTTTTCATTTTAATCGTGATGACGTTGCGCTTAACGGTTTCTATAAATTCTTCTTAAACGAGTCTGAAGAGGAGCGACAACATGCGATAAAGGTAGTTCAACAATTCCCAGCTAAATTTTGTATAGTTAATGACTTACCAAAATATGCGGGGTGGTCGGATTGTGTTACAAGATATATCGGCACCTCCCCAACTCTCATGGAATTCGGGACTTCATGCTATGCAGGATGCTCTTGACTTGGAGAAGAAGGTCAATCAGAGTCTGATGGAGTTAGTGGCTGTTGGTGAAAGGCACAGAGATACACACTTTTGCGATTTCATTAATAGTAAGTTCACTGTCAGGTTTTCTATGATGGTGTCTTCCGGTGAATTCGATATTAAACTCACTAGTGTTATATCCACTTTTTGGCTCGTTTTGTTTGCGAAATTGATTTAATTTTTAATTCGAGTCTGCAGAAGTCAATGCTATTGACTGGTTCATTAAAAACAAATGTGAGTCGTGTCTTCATATTGTTCATGGGATCACGTCCAAGTGTGAACGTACTCATCTAAGACTGCCCAAATTTGGTCCGGATGTAACCGGACTCAAGCAGTCATTTCGTCAACAACACATTGACGCCCCTAAGTTTCCAGGACTTTTCCTTACTCAGTTCCCTTCGTATGACCCACATAGGCTCCAGGATCCTGAAGGAACGAATGCCGTATGAACCACCGGCTACCATGGGACTGCATCTCCTCACGATGCTCCACTGCCTTGTGGATCAGACCATTAGGTCAAATGCTCGGAGTGTGGCCCCCTAAGAAAACCACCTGTTTCAGTCTCGGCACCTGGGCAGTATCACAGCCCATATCTGGTGCTTCCTTGTACTAATATTTATGTTTAAATAAATAAATAAAAATAGGTGTGCAAAAAGCGATAACCACCCTCATACACATAACAGTACATTGCATAACCTCGTCAATACGAAAACTCTAGCAAGTGTGAAATAACATCAAACTGCGCTAGTGTAGTCTTTTGTATGTATTAGAGGGTTTTACTAATACTTTTCCTTTCGTCTTGATAGTCTTTTGTCTGCATACTACATTTATGTGATAACTTAAGTCATTGCGCTTACCAGATGCTACACTGCTTGTTAGTAAAGTCTAGAGCTGTTGCCAAAAATGTAGCTGGCGATATGAAGCAAGAAATAACTTATTCAGCTTCCTGGGTGGATTTCGTTTGAAGCAGAGTAGTCAGTGACTTGATAGGTTGTTGTCAATATCCTATAAGTTTAACCTTAAAGCTATTAGATGCCTTTCATTCATATTATCAATCAATTATCCACACTACGCATAATATTGTCTCGTTTATTTTCTAGATGAATATTTGGAGATTCAGGTACAGTCTATGAAAAAGCTTTCCGATTACATTACTAATCTCATTCGTGTTGGCAATGGTCTTGGGGAATACACCTTCGACAAAGAAACCCTACATGGCGAGAGTCAATAATTATGTATTAGCATATTGTTATAAACTGTCCTCGAGCTACAATTAATTATATTTTGTATGATTTAATGATTTTTACTAATTAATTTATGTATTCTAAAGTTACATTTAGTACGATTCAGATCGTTATCAAGTTTTTGGTCATTGGTCGCCGAATCTTGACATATAACCGTCGTTATTTTCTGAAAGAGTCGTTTTGAGTGACTAATCTTCCATATGCTGATATTTAAGCCATGTCGTTCATGGGAAATAAGTTTCAGTTTCCATAAATCGATCTAGCCTTTTGCTCTAATGGTATTACCACTGTTGGTTTGACTAAGGGTAGGTTTCTGCTCACTACTACGATCAAACATGCCAGATATGACACGATATAAACAATGTAGGTGATTGGTTGGTGTACCGAACATCGATTCACAAGTAATGAACGTGCAATGTTGCTTATCTCTTTAAATATTGATAAACACATCTGAATGTATTAAACTGGTGGTTGATATTGAATAATCAGCTATTCACTGTATATATGTAGTTTACAATATCAATAGATTAGCTGTTTTGAACAATATGTATGACTAAATTGCTGAGTTATGTATTTCGCTCCTTTATAATCTTAACATTTTCATTATGTAGTGTCTGTGTTTTGCACACTTCAAGCGTATAATATCAGATACGTTATTATATATTACTTAAATGCATATAGAAAGTTATTATTACTAAAATATTCTCGAGCGTAAGTGTCGTTACATTATAGCTTGGAAACCACTGTAATGTACTGATATTATTAACAAGGATACCGGCAAAATTATCTCATAACAAAACGTATCTATAAACTTACAACTGTGCACCTAATTTGTGCCTTGAAATAAATTTTTAATGGAAATATCTTACAGTCTATCTCATATGCCCCCAAATGCCCTGATACAGTCGAAAGTTCGCTCTCCCTCTCGAAATTCACATGGCCTCTGCCAGGGAAGTCCCACTCACTGCCTTCTCGTGGCATTACTGTTGTTTACGAAATTGAGAGGACGAAAAGCGAATGTCCGGAGCTTTAACCGGGTTGGTGGACACGGTGAGTCCACCTAGGGGAGTTGGAAAACCCTCATTCCAAACCAATGGTATACATGGGCTGGCTGCAGTATCATGAGGGAACAAATGGTGTATGAATCAATTGTTGGTCACCGGTTACCATGGGACTAAATCTCCCCACGATACTCCACTGCCTTGTGGATCAGACCATTAGGTCAAAGGCTCGGGGTGTGGCCCCCTAAAATAGTACCTGCTTCAGTTTGGGCACCTGGGTAGTATCACAGCCCTCACACAAATCAAATGAGATTTGTGTGGAGCATATGTATCTGGTGCTTCCTTGTGCCAAAATTTATGTTTGAATAAACTAACTCATATCAATACAGAAACAATTTGTAGTTCGAATCATTTAGCCTAAAATCAGCGACGGTTGCGCAAGTGTAGCTAGAATTTATTTTGTTCTCAATTTATTAGTCTCTTCATTCGTTTTTAACGTCATTGGGTTGTTCTAAGTAAGCTGTGATGGTGCTGGTAATTTGAGGGGGTTCTATGGTATGTAACTTGACTCATTTAGTATTCTCATAACGATAGGTAACGACAATAAGCATAATATTAAGGAAAGTGACCTAAATAGTTATAAGCAATAAATGGTGGAACCAATGGACTGTTCACTTTACTCTGCTCTAATTAGCACCCTTATTTCATAAATCAATAGTATCTAGCGATTTAATATGTCAGGATGGAAAATTTGATAAGGCTAAGTTGCGATGTATGCTCAACTGCCTATAAACTAATTGTCCAACAGAAGACACTACTTAGTTTCGTATAATCTTAGCACAAAAATACAGATTGTATATCAATCTAGGATAACGTGTGATTAGTTCCAGGTCACATCGAATAGTTTCTGCGTACTAATTTTTCAGCTCTGGCCGTATATTAGAAGACATGTTCGTCGACTTGATACATTAAATCCGGTTATCATTAGTCCTCTCCAAGGTAATTGTGGGTCAGGTGCAAATCGGCGTAATCAAGAAATATAATGGTAAGGCCTGAAACCCATAACTAACTTTTCCTCCCCAGCTTGGGTCCAATGGGTTTTACTGATTCAGAGAACCGCCAAGTTGTATCCTATAATTTCCGTGGCTATTTAATTGGCCTTTCGGTCTCCCTTATTGTCCGGAAGTTCTATGTACCTATAGAAATGGTGGCGCTGGTTGATAGAAGAGGCATCAACCTCGCGATTTCCGAATAATTTTGGCTTTCATCATGAGGCGTCATAATTCTTCCTTTAACTCCCAGGGCAAAGTTTAAATTGTTTATTCTTGTTATATCCCCTAGTGTTTTTTTTAGTAAGGTGGTTTTCTATGGGATGGGGTTGCCGACCCTACACCCAACCCTCCTCATTCACCCGTGATCAGCAATGGCATTAGAAGAGCTACGGACAGAGTTTACCAATAATACAGTCAGGAATAATCCCTATTGTAAAAAAATAAGTGAAATGAACTGACCTAATATTCTTCAAAAACATGTAGTGATCAATAAGAACAAATAACTGTAGGAACAATCTTTCCACCTGTTCTTGCTTATTTGAATCTTGTCCAAGGTTTCCATAGAAATCTATTACTTCTGATGATGCTTCTTGCAGACCAGCATCTTATTGTATACTTAAATCCATAGAATCAATTAAATTTATGTAAATAGGTATGAAAATACTAAATCTCCACAAAACCCCTTCTGATAATGAATATAATCATATGCTCACTAGTGACTGACTTCGAGAAGTACATCCAGAAGTTCTAGTGACAAGCAGTGACCAGTGGAGTTGAAGCCACGTCTGTTGTGAGATGTCAACTGACTGAAGACAATTGATGAACGGTTGCTCAACTTCGTGGATTAGTTGAAGTTAGACATTAACACCGTTGGATGCCGGCTCAGTGGTCTATCGGTTAAGGGCTCTGGCTCGAGACTGGGAGTCTGATCAGCCCTATAGATTTGGTGTCTGACGAAATCTCAGCACAAATTCAAAAAGCTCGTTTGTCTTTTGCCAACCTATGGCGAAGACGAGATATCCGTCTATCAATTAAGGGATGAGTATAGTGCGCAGCAGTTCGCTCTGTTCTACTTTACGGCTGCGAAACATGGCCATTAAGAGTAGAAGATACTCGTAGGTTACTAGTATTTGACCACAGATGTCTTAGAAATATTGCTCGCATCTTATAGGATAACCGAGTAAGTAATACTGAGGTTAGACACAGGGTATTAGGAAATGATGGTAAATCAGTTGATGAGGTGATGAATCTTCATCGATTGAGATGGTTAGGTCACGTGTTACGTATGCCTGAACACCGATTACCACAACGCGCTATGCTGACTAGTGTAGGGGATGGTTGGATAAGAGTTAGGGGCGGCCAAACCAAAACATGGCATCAGTGTTTGAAGTCACTAACTTCTAGTCTGAGCCATGTTGGTAGATGCAGACTACTTGGTTGGAGTTCGCGTGACTATCGTAACCAATGGTTGGAGACTCTGTGTGACATGGCTCAGAATCGATCACAATGTATATATACACAATGTATACAATGTTTATCTTCCCTTAAACCTTAAGATTAAAATTGCTTCATATCTGTCTTACTTCCTTATATACCTTTTTTTTATATATTATCACCACTAAATTAACTACTTCTATGAATCCGGTGTTTATCTTGTTGTGTTAACGAGGTATGACAACTTGGACCGATGCATATATGTTGCCTGATCCCATGTTGTAGCTGACTGACTGATAGGTCCTGGGTTGTAATCTCGCGAGCTCGGGATCATGAATGCGTATTGTTGAAGAGTCTCATAATAGGACGAAACGACCATCCAGTAGTTCCAGGTTTTCCCTGGTAGTGGTCTAGTCGCTTCAATTGACTCACTCTTTCAACTATGATAAATAAGTAGTATTGTACTGAAAAATGAAATTTTTAACTTAAACATAATACTATAAAATGTTTAAGCAATAATAAATGTTAGTTGTTTATCAATCTTTCTCGAAAAAAAAAATTTTTTTAAAAGGTAACAAGGAAATATTCAACACAACTTTAAACAATAATAAAAATGCAAAAAAAAAAGATAATTTACATAAATTACTTTTCCTTTTTCTCTTTTCAGTTGTTACTAAGTTGAAATATCTTTTTTTTTTTAAAAAAAAAAATTCTTTCCCTCCACTCTTTGCCTCTCCCCCTCCATCCCCGGGGCAATATTTCATAACAATAATATTGATTGATTGATATGTGTAACAAAATTCATCATAATAATAAACAAACAAACAAACAAAAATCGAATGTAGATGGTGCAATTTTAGTTTCTTTTTAATTTAATGCAATACTTTCTAATGATTTAATAAGTGCATAACGAGCTAAGTAGAAAAAAAAGGGGCAAGTACAATGATCATAATAATCATGAAATTAATATTTTGTAAAATCAATATAAACATAATAATAATAATAATAATGATCAGAAGATCGGGGGGGGGGTTATGGAGACTTTTAGTAATTTTGTAGAGTTAAGATCATGAGTCCATTGAAGCTAGACCACTAGGGTTAAGTGTTCTGGCACCAGACTGGTAGGTCCTGGGTTCGAATCTAGCTCGTAAGGCCAAGTCGTGGATGCACACTGCTGAGGAGTCCCACAATAAAACGTAAACGGCCGTTCAGTGCTTTCATGTTTACCCTGGTGTTCTAGCTTCAATCGACTCACACTTTCAACTATGGAAATCATAATTATTATCAGAAGGGGGAGATTTTTAATAATTTTATATAGTTGAAATCATGAATCAATTGAAACTAGACCACTATGGGAAACCTGGAATCAGTGGACGACCGTTTCGCCCTGTTGTGGGACTCCTCACCAGTGCGCATCCACGATCCCGTCTCGCGAGGCGATCTCAACTATATATAATAATAATTAATTCAATGAATCTAGGTTTATTATAATTATCCTTGTCTCCTCTTACGCCCCGCCCCCGAGTTTGAGTATAGTTGACCTTTCATTTTTATCTATAAATATTCTTAACCAGTATATTATGTGTGATCAGATTGTTCGAAATATATTGCATTGATACTATTATCATATAGTTCTGATCATCTTCATCTTCTTATTACTACACTATTGAAATTGATTTTTAAATAATGTTATGGTTAATTTAATTTTCAAAAAGAAATATAATAATTTATAGGGGTATACGCATATGTACTAAATAGGCATAGCACTAATATCTTGTGAAGTGTATGTGCCCTAAGATGCCCTGTTACGGTCGAGAGTCAGCTCTCCCTCTCGAAATGCTCTCACATGGCCAAGCGCATATAGCCTCTGTCAGGGAAGTCCTACTCACTGTATTCTCCTGGCGAGGGTGTGGCCCTTTAAGAAAACCATCTGCTTCAGTTTGGGCAATTGGGCAGTATCACAGCCCTCAACACAAATCAAATGAGATTTGTGCGATGCATATGTATCTGATGCTTCCTTGTATCAATATTTATGTGTTTAAATAAATAAATAATGAAGTGTATGCAGTGTTATTCAATTGAATAATAAATTAGTCATTCATCATCATCACACAGGGGTGTTGACAGTTGATAATAGTATGATGGGATGTAAAGATAAGTAGACTGATTTGGAAATTTACAAGTTAAAACAATGTGAGATGATGATTGGTGATGGTATTATTAAAAATAAAAATTTCTACAATTGCTTCTGTAAAGGATCGAATTTAGCTAGAAGACGAATATCTTAAATCTTATTTTGGCAGAATCTCTTCGGCGATGAATATCCATGACCTAACCAATTGAATGGAATTCATCATTATACATCAACTTCATTGACTACGAGAAAGCATTTGATAGCGTGGACAGGACAACACTATGGATGCTTCTTCGACACTACAGCGTGCCTGAGAAGATAGTCAATATCATACAGAGTTCCTATGATGAACTAAACTGCCAAATCGTAAATGGAGGACAACCCACCGACCCATTCGAGGTAAAGACCGGTGTCAGACAAGGTTGTTTACTCTCACACTTTCTCTTTCTCCTGGTGATCAACTGGATGATGAAGACGTCAAAATCTGAAGGGAGAAGCATGAGATATAATGGACAGCTAGGATACAGCTGAACGATCTAGACTTCGCAGATGATCTGGATTTCCTATCACACATGCAACAACGAGTGCAGGAGGAGACAATCAGTGTAGCAACAACCTTAGAAGCATTAAGTCACAACATACACAAGAGTAAGAGCAAGATTCTCCTATATGACGTAACATGCATTAATCGAATCACACTTGACGGAGAAGCTTTGGAGGATGTAAAAACTTTTACATATCTAGGTAGCATCATTGATGAACACGGTGGATCTGATGCAGATATGAAGGCGCGGATCGGCAAAGCAAGAGTAGCATATTTACAACTGATAAACATCTGGAACTCAAAACAACTGTTTGTGAACCAACACCAAAGTCAGAATTTTCAGTACAAATGTCAACACAGTTCTACCAAATGGGGCGGAAAGGCGGGGAACTACAAAAACCATCATCCAGAACATGCAAGTGTTTATTAACAGTTGTCTACGCGAAATACCTCGGATCGGTTGGCCAGACACTATCAGCAACAACCTATTGTGGGATAGAACAAACCAGATTCCAGCAGAGAAAGAAATCAGGAAGAAGCGCTGGAAGTGAATAGGACACACACTTGGAATCCCTAAAGCCAAAGGAGAAGAGGAGGACCAAAAAACACATCACACCGAGAAATGGAAACAGACATGAGAAGAGTGAGAAAAAGTTGGATAGAATTAGAAAGGAAAGATCAGGACAGAGTAGGTTGGAGAATACTGGTCGGTGGCTTATGGTCCATTGGGAGTAACAGGCGTAAGTAAGTAAAGCAACACAAAACTTACAAGCTTTAAGTTCCTAAGCAAACAGGAAGTTCTTAAATCATATTCTTAACTTTGGCCAATCTATGATACAGCTTGACCATCAGCAAAAATCATTGGTTATCAGTAGGTCACTTTTATTTGTCGTTGCGGGTACGTATTTCCGATTTTTATGACCGAACGTAGTGTCTTAACTGTGGCTGCCAACTTGACGTGGGATTCGAGCTTGCCTATTGTGATGGTTCGACTAATCTACATTGTCCAAGAAATTACCACGTCGTGCTTTACTTGCCGACACTAGGACTGGTTGGAAAAATCTGAGAGGTAGTCAGTTCATAACATGATGCTAGGGTACGAATGAAAGCTGTATAAGACTAACAACTTGCACTCTATCATGACCTACTGGTTGCAATCTGAGAGGTAATGTAAGTCAGTGAATATAGATAAATATGAGTTGATATGATAGCTTTACAATGAAATCATTCAACTAAAAGAATACAACATATTCACAAGTAATAAGATTACATAATACAAGGGTACTTGTAAGGAGATTAGATGAATTGGTTCAAATGAAGGTTTGTATTCAACACTACAAAAATAATAGTGATCCCAGTCAGACAATTATAAGCTGAACATTTAAAATCGGTTTTCGTCATGCAATATTATGACATGAAAAGAAAGTATTTAGTATTCTTATGGGATTTGACTTTAACAGTTAACATGCCTATAAACAACTAGTTTACTGAGTATGGCAAATTAAGTATTAGAATCATGACGGAATGGGAGGTTGTACGAGTCGCTTTTCCATACAGAGTTTAGGTTTAAAATGATTAATTGATTGATTTACCATAACTTCAAACGTAGTCGTTGAACTATGTAAGATGATTTTGAAAGATAAATCTGGTGGATACATGTGACCAGAGTGGATAAGATATTCCAATATTAAATTACTGATTGTTTTACATAGGTCTATCGAAAATTAAGGGAGATGAGGCTTAGAGATATGTTTAGAAACTCTTACCTTATGTGATCAATGTAACTGGCTTCACAAGAGAAAGGAGACTTACAAATACACGGTGATATGGCTCAAACTTCATGTTTGACATATCCACTAATGATAAGGCGGCTGTATAAGACATTTAGAAGCCTAGGAGCACGTTTGTCTCAAAATTTCTTTCATACTTACTCCCTTAATTGTCGTGTTTACAATGAATTTTCGGCGAGACTATAATCTATAGACGGACTATTCAGACCTAATATACCAGGTCTTGGGTTTAAGAGCGAAATTCATCTATCCATTTGGCCAAATATAAATATTTTGGCATTATAACTGATGTCAACAAGTGACGAAAACATTATATCTAATTCCTAGTGCTAACGTCCAACTCTAAATCATAATCATAATTCCTCACACTAGTATATAACCCTGATCGAACCCTAGTAAGTAGGTTAGCATTCTCAAGATCATTTTAGTGTTTCTCAAGTCAGTCAGTCAGCTAAAACTTAGGACCAGGCACATATATATTCATCGGCCCAAGTTGCCACACTTCATAAGTACAACAAGATGAACACCAAATACATAGAAGTAGTTACTTCAATGGTCGTCCACAAAGTTTTCTTTTGTACTGTGTATGATTTTTCTGGTTGCAGTCTCGATCTACAATTTCCCTCAATGAACCAGAACGGATAGATATATTTAGTGGGTATTTATCGGGGCTGGAGTTGTTCATCATTAGTTATTGTCTTCAGAGCATATTTACCTAGCCTAAGAAGATAGCCCTTTAATTCATTTTATTTCATGAATGGTGTATAATAATATGTCCGAAGCTTTAACCAGGTTAGTGGAGATAGAGGAGAGTTGTAAAACCCCGATTTTAAACCAATAGTGTGTGTGGGCTCCAATATCCTGAAAGAACAAATGGTGTATAAACCTGTTGTTGATGACCGGTTACTATCGGAATGTATCTCTTGATGTTGCTTCACTGACTTGTCGGTTAGACCTTTAGATCGAAGGCTCCGTGTGTGTCCCCCATAAGGAAACCACCTGTTTCGGTTTTGACATCCGTGCAGTATCATAGCCCCATACACAAAGCAACTGAGTTGTGTGGTACATATGTCTTCGGTGCCCGTTTGTACCAGTGCGCATCCACGATTATTTGTGTTGAATTTTTTTTGTTTCTGGGGATCTTTCCGTTAATTTTTGAAGACATCAGCTGATCATGTCATACTTTTGGCTTATGCATATCCTGTGCAGATTGCTTTCATAATGTCAAAAAGTCATAAGGATTTTTTAATAAACTAGACATGAACATGTGATAGTGATAACAAGTATAATATTCGGTTGGGTCATTGAAAAAAAGAATCATTTTCGCTTCAATGAATATTCAGTAAACACATTTGAATCAATCATAAAGACAATGAAATAAATTCTTGGACTGTTCACTTTGTGATTTATTTATTCATTTGAATAAATAAATATTGGTACAAACGGGTACCGAAGACATATGTACCACACAACTCACTTGGCTTGTGTGTGGGCTGGGATACTGCCCGAGTGCCCAGACCGAAGCAGGTGGTTTCCTTATGGGGGACACACACGGAGCCTTCGATCTAAAGGTCTAACCGACAAGTCAGTGAAGCAACGCCAAGAGATACATTCCGATAGTAGCCGGTCATCAACAACAGGTTTATACACCATTTATTCCCTCAGAATACTGGAACCCACACACACTATTGGTTTAGAATCGGGGTTTTACAACTCTTCTCCATCTCCACTAACCCGGTTAAATCTCCGGACATCCACTTTTCTTTATCTCAATTTCGTAAGCAGCATCAATGTCACGAGAAGATGCATTGGCCATATGAGAGCATATCAAGAGGGAGAGCTGACTCTCCCCAATCTCGGCCGTACCACGGCATTTGAATGTTTTCTTACAGGTACATATGTTGACCATATTAACCTGTTATACGTAATTACTTGATATGGATTGTGGTGAGAATTTGTAATGCAATGGAAGTATTACCTGTATTGTTACGCAAATAAAAATAAAGTATCAGTGGAAAATTGCCTTTTTGTGAATTTGAAATATGCAATTTCACGAAACTAGGTTGGTTTTATCTGGGAACTTTGAAAATGGTAACTTTTAAAGAAATATTTTTCGGAAATCGAATCCAAAAACATATCATTTGTAAACGTCCTTCTTAGGAGCTGATTTTATATATTAGTTTTCAATCTTTGTGCAATTTTTGGTAGATGGCATAGATAATAATTCAAGAGCAGTATACACACTATAACTTTGTCGATAGAATTCGACCTGTAGTATGAATTTAACAAGTATAACATTAACTACTATTTAGTAACTAGTCTGTGTAAATGCTTTTAGTCTACATAATATCTCTAATTATGACACCATGTGATCTAGTACCCTCAACAACTAAATACAAGTATTGAGTAGGACTTCATCAGGAAATCTACACCATTTGACATGACTCATATTTTGAGTGTTTGTCGTTAAATTTACTCCACATTAATCCTATGTTATAAAGGATTGAAATTCGAAGTGGGGAGTGGTTAACTAAGAATAACTGATAAAGTCGGTGAATTCTTATTTATCGATTTATTGAAATGTGACTATTATTCTTGATAACTCAATCAAATTAAATCACTTATACTGTACTAAATGTACACTAAACTACTAAACAAAGTGTTATTCACGAGAGTGAGAGGACGAAAAGCGAATGTATGGCGCTTTAACCGGGTTGATGGACACGAAAAGTCCACCTAGGGGAGTTGGAAAACCGATGGTGCACATGAGCTGGCTTCAGTATCCTGAGGGAAAAATGGCGTGTGAACCAATCGTCGGTCACTGGCTACTATGGGAGTGCATCTCCTAACGATGCTCCACTGTCTTGTGGATCAGATCTTTAGGTCAAAGGCTCGAGGTATGGCCCCCTAAGAAAACCATTTGCTTTGGTCTGGGCACCTGGGCAGTACCACAGCCCTCACACACAAAAAAAAGTGTGGCGCATATATATCTGGTGCCGCTTTGTACCAATATGTATGTGTTTGAATAAATAATAATAATAAACAAAAGTAATAACTAACTAACTAACTTACTGGATTCAACATTTTTGCTGATCAATAATGGATCATTCATTTGAAGATTATTCACAGTTCCATCATCATTATTATGATCATGAAGAATAGTATCGATTTCTTCCATTAATTCTAATTCTTCTTTATCCCAAAAATCATTCAATATTCTTCGATGATCATCTTTTATTGAGTTAGTATAATTTATATCCCATTTTACACCACGATGCATTTCCCAACATAGTTCTTCAATTCCACCGTAGATAAGCTTAAAAAGGAAAATGAATGATACATTGAAATATTAAGTATGTACATTAGTGAACAATTTGTAATGAGTGGAATGATAATAGAACTACTATTCAATGGGTGTATATCTATGGTAAGGATTAAACATATGATACTAAACTTTGTGATGATATGGATAAGGACATGATCAAACCAGATTGTACGGTAAAAAAACAGAATAAGCTAGTGACTTATGAAATGGTTTATTTTGGTGTGAGACCATGAATCAATTGAAGCTAGACCACCATGGAAAACCTGGAAGCACTGGACAACCGTTTCGTCTTATTGTGCGACTTTTCAGCAGTGAGCATCGAAAACCCTGCCTCGCGAGGTTCGAACCCAGGACCTATCAGTCTCGCGCCAGAGCACTTAACCGATAGACCAGTGAGCCGGCATCCCATGGTGTTAATATCTAACTCCAACCAATCCACAAAGTTGAGCAACCGTTCATCAGTTGTTGTGGATGCGCACTGCTGAGGAGTTCAATATTAGGTCGAAACGGCCGTCCAGTGCTTCGAGATTTTCCCTGGTGGTGGTCTAGCTTCAAATGATTCACGCTTTCAACTATGAAAATACTAAATCTCCACTAAAACCCCTTCTGATAATAATAATAATAATATACATATGATTATAAAAAAACAAAACAATACTTACAGAGATATCAAAAGCAAAACAATCAATTTCTGATATTTTATCACTAGGGAAACTTGGTAAATTTAATTTGGTCAACAACACATCACTTTGATGACTTGATGAATGATCAACAACAAAAACATCATGATCATGATGATGTAATAAATGATTAAATGATGAAACTTCAATAAAAGAAATTTCATTCGTTGGTTGACAGGGATCACTCTCCTTTAATGATTTCATTTTTAAACCTTTACGTTTGGTACTAAAATAACAGAATAATAAACCAAAAGTAAAAATAAACAGATCAAAGAATGAATTCATTACGAAAGTGATTTAAATAGATAAAATAATATATGAAGTAAATCACGATCGCTAAGCGTATGGTTAATGTATGAAACGATTCACATGAAATAAATCTCATTTTCAGGTAATGTAGGGAGAGTCCACTCTCACTCTCGAAATGCTCTAACATGGCCACGCGTATGTAGCCACTGTCGGGGAAGTCCTACTCACTGTCTTCTCGTGGCATTACTGTTGTTTACGAAATTGAGAGGACGAAAAGCGAATTTTCAGGGCTTTAACCGGGTTGGTGGACACGGAGGGTCCACCTGGGGTAGTCGGAAAACCCTCATTCGAAACCAATGGAGTACATGGGCTGGTTTCAGTATCCTGAGGGAAAAAATGGCGTTTGAACCAATTAACGTTTACCGGCTATTATGGGACTGCATCTTCTCACGATGCTCCACTGCCTTGTGGATCAGATCTTTAGGTCAAAGGCTCCGGGTGTGGCTCCCTAAGAAAACCACCTGCTTCATTTTGGGCACCTGAGCAGTATCACAGCTCACACACAAATCAAATGAGATTTGTCTGGCGCATATGTAACCGGTTCCCCCTTTGTACCAATATTTACGTGTTTAAACAAAATAAACTGCTCTATTAAAAGATGAATAAGTTCTGCACACACATTTATTTATTTATTTAAACACATAAATATTGGTACAATGAGGCACCAAATAGATATGAGTTATGAAAATCATCCGATTTGTGGAGGGCTGGGATACTATAAGGGGGCCCAGACCGAAACAGGTGGCCACATATGGAGCCTTCGACGCAGTGGAGCAACGTAAGGAGATACAGTACCATGGTAGCCGGCCATCAATGATTGGTTCATGCGCGATTTCTTTCCTCAGAATTCTGGAGTCCATGTGCACCATTGAATTAGAATCAGGGTTTTCCAACTCCCCTAGGTGAACCCTCCGTATCCACCAACCTGGTTAAAGCGTCCGTTCACTCATTGAGCACATAAGTAACGTGGTTATTATTGTTATTATCTTTTTAGTCTTACTAATAATGGTTTCATTTGTTACTTATGTATTGATGAGACTGTAAATGTTAGCATGTATGATAAAATACTATAGATCTTGTGTAAACGGTTATAAGAAAATCACTAGGCGAAATATAGTATACACTTAATGAAACATTTAGTGTTGGTTCTATTAAAATAAAAAAAGTAACTAACGAAAATTCAGAAAAAAAAACAGAGAAATGGAATTATTGAGATTCTAGGTGATTGAATTTAATTGACAAGGAAATGATTCAATCTATTAAGCTCAAGCTCGTGTCACTAAGCTACATGGAGATGTTACGACTGAACTATTCAGGGTGCTTTTTCTACGGAACTGAGTGCGCGAAAAGTGAATGTCTGGCAGTTTAACCGGGTTGGTGAACGCGGAGTGTCCGCCATAGGAATTTCAAACCAACGGTGCATATGGGCTCCAGTATCCTGAAGAAACAGATGGCTTATGAACCAATAGTTGGTCATAAACTATCACGCGACTGCAACTCCTAAAGTTGTTCACATGCTTTGTGGATTGAACCTTTAGGTCAAGGGCTCCGTGTGTGGCTCCTTAAAAAACCACCTACTTCAGTCTGGGTACCCGCGCAGTATCACAACCCAAACACAAATCAAGCGATTTGTGTTTGGTGCCTCTTTATATCAATATTTATGTGTTCAAATAAATAAATTCAGGGTATGATTAACTTTCTGTGAGGCGGAGGTGTATTTATAATCAACCAATCACTGAGTAGTGACCAATGTCATGTTTCTCAAGAGCTTTTTAATGGTGATCAGATTCTCTTGACCCAGTTGCAATGTGCCCACTAGTTTAAGTGACTCGGCGTTATGTTTACTATTTTGAGATGTTATCAAAGGCTGAAGCATAAGGACTTGGCAAATATGACACTGGTTAGTATATAGTGATCAACAAATGATAAATGGGATCATTCCAGAAGGTTATTGACTCTTTCCCTCATGATCATTTAAGGCATAAACAATGAACAATACATAAATATATAGATAAGCTAGAAATTATTTAGATATATACAAGTGTTAACCAAAGACGATAGAAAAAGGTCCAAAATACAAAGAAGCATTTACTAATAAGAAAAAAGATGATGATTATTATTTTGCTTTTGATTGAGATCATGATCCGATTGATGTTAGACCACTATTGAAAACCTGGACGGCTGTTCCCTTGGGTTAGACATTAACAACATTGGATGCCGGCTGAGTGAAACCCAAGGTCATAGGTTCGAGTCTTGCGTACAGGATCATGGATGCGCACTGCTGAAGAGTCCAATACTAGAACGATATGGACGTCCTGTGATTTCAGGTTTCCAATAGTGGTTTAATATTGATCGATTCACGGTGCTAATCAAAAACATAACAATCTCCACAACCCGATACTGATGACTATTTTGTTATTAGAAAGAACCATTCACTGAGCCACTTGTGTTTCTATAATTATTGAAGGTTCAAAGGTCAAGTCAAAAACATACAATTCATTAAAGGATTGTATGTAATGAATTCTAATCGATATCCTATGAGGTCATTGTGATAATGGAATGAATGTTTTATGCAAAATGTTAAAAGAGTGGATTTACAAGGATAAAAGTAGACTAGGTGATATCATAGTTTAAAAGTTATAAATGATTTGTATTTCATAGTTGAAATCATGAGTCAATTGAAGCTAGACCACCATGGAAAACCTGAAAGCACTGAACGGATCGTAGATGCGCACTGCTGAAGAGTCCCATAATAGGACGAAACGGCCGTCCAGTGCTTCCAGGTTTTCCATGATGGTCTAGCTTCAATTGACCTATGATTTCAACTATGAAAATACTGAATTCTCCACAAGACCCCTTCTGATCTATAAATGATTTGATCAATTTGATTAAGGATTAAATGACATTAACAGGAGGCTAAGACAGGAAAAAAAAGGGAAAAATATACTTTTTCTTCAATCAAGGTCAAGAAGTCACCTTGAATAGGTGTTAATAGCTTTATTTATAAAGAAAAAAGCAACTCGTAAATTTAAATTCACTTGATACTGTCTGTTTGAATCTTCCCATTAATGTTTTGGACTGCAATTGATCAGTTTGTTATTAGCATATGTGCATAATTTGCGTATTGCCTAGATATAGCCTTAATTCACAAGTATTATAAGCAGAGATGCATAGTGCCTAGCGGGAACATCTAGCTGAAGAGTCCAAAATGGGACGAAACGCGCGTCCTGGATTCCACTGCTAGCCACTATCTATCTTTGCTTATAACTCGTAACTTTGCAAAGAATATACAAATATAGCCAAAATATGATATTGATAAGAAATGAAATGAGAATTCTTTTCTCATTGGATAGTATTCAATATCGGCATAACATATGCGATTATCTGTCGGAACAGACAAGGTATAAAATTCGAGTAATTGGCAATTTAGACAACTAAGTTTATAATTGATTTTTCTAGATACTTTCATAGTTGAAAGCATGAGTCAATTGAACCTAGAACGCCATGGAAGACCTGGAAGCACTGGACAGCTGTTTCGTCCGATTGTGTGCACACCCACGACCTCGCCTCGCGAGATTCGAACTCCAGAGCACTTAACCGATTGTTTTAAATGAATGATAAATTTCGGAAATTGTTTATGCACCATTATTGTACATATCTTCGTATTGTATAGCTATTACGTAACCAGATTATCTATGATTATATTTCTTTTCTCATAGGTTTTCATTTGACCTGTTAGCTACGATTATACGAGTTATTACTTTTAATTTATACCCAATCCATTAGTTAATGTATGGTGTGGGTTACTGATATCCACATAAGTAGTATATAACCATGGTCGGGCATTGAATGTATTTATGGTTTGATGCGATCTGGTCTGCTCGTATATAAACTAACTATATCTGAAGTATATTATTCATATAGTGGGGGCGGATATTGTGTACCAGGCTCAATGAACAAGGCAGAGGGAGAAGCTACTGAATCGAGGACCAATTACGATGACTCAAGGCTGCTAATGCTGATTGATCTGTTAGCATAGATAGAAGGTCATAGCAGCCGATATTCTGATGGGTGACTTTTTCACGTGATATTTGACAGGGATATGAATATTGATCATCAACATAGCACCCGATATGAATCTTGGTTCAAGTAGCCAAATCATCAATTAACACCGAAAAACAAGAAATTCAGAAATGGAGAAATTTACGGAAGTATACACACAAAAAATGCAGTTTGGGAGAACCAGATAAAATGACGGGATAAAAGATAAGGAACGAAACCAAACTTAATATTTAGTAACAAGTAGACAATGAATATAATCCGCTTGTAGCTCCTCCGGGGGCTACTGCCGGTCCCAAGCCCGGGTAAAGGAGGAGGGTTGGGCATGAGGTTAGCGACCCCATCCCGTAGAAAACCAACTCACTAAAAAAACGCTAACCAGAAAAAATTATTCAAACCATTTAAACTCTGCCTCGGATGCAGACGTAAAGGCGAGGATTGACAAACCAAGGGCAGCATTTCTACAATTGAAGAACATATGGAACTCAAAACAACTATCAACTAATTTCAAAGTCAGAATCTTCAATACGAACGTCAAGACAGTCCTACTGTACGGAGCTGAAACTTGGGGAACTACTACAACCATCATCAGGAAGGTACAAGTATTTATAAACAGTTGTCTGCGCAAAATACTCAACATCCATCGGATGGGTACTATCAGCAACAGCGTTTTATGGGAGAGGACAAACTAGCTTCCAGCTGAAGAGGAAATTAGGAAAGGACGTTGGAAGTGGATCGGACATACATTAAGGAAATCACCAATGTGCATTACAAGGCAATCCCCAACTTGGAATCCAGAAGGGAAGCGGAAAAAAGGAAGGCCAAAGAACACACTATGCCGGGAAATAGAAGCAGATATGAAAGGAATGAATAACAACCGGAAAGAACTGGAAGTGAAGGCTCAGGACAAAATTGGATGGAGAATGCTGGTGAGCGGCCTATGCTCCTCGACGAGGGGTAACATGCGTAAGTAATTAAATAAGACAATGAATATGGCCTTACTAATTGAATTGATTTTGCACCAGATCACTAAGTAGTAAATTAACAAAAAAAGTAATCAATTTACTTACCAAACAGTTAATTGCTGTGTATTATTTAACAGGTTTGAAGAGTTCGTTTGTTTTTGTTCAACTTGATCTTCTGTGAAAATTTCCCAATTGGGTAAACTTATCGGCCTGGATGATGCAGGGACTGTAGTAGTTGTAGTTAACTAAGAATAAGAAGTGACAAGGAAATGGATTATCATCTAATCTCTTTTTTAAAAATACAAGCACCAACAAATTAACTGTGTTATAAAGAAAACAGAGTTTCTAAAGTCCAACTAGACTGGAAATATTTCGGTCGAGTGATGAAGATGGGTTAGAATGAACATATAGAATGTCGGATAATTAACAGTGAGTATGATTATGAATACAGTGGTTTTGAGTGCTGTTAGAGGTATGAGGGCAGTTATCACTTCCCGGTTGCCCATACTGTGGAAGGGTTCTTCTAGAGGTACCTGAAAAGGAAATTGGGTTAGAAGTGGTTTTAATCACCTGAGAGCGTGACCGCAGTGCCCAAGAGACAACTGCTTGAGGTCGGTCACATACGACCTTTTTGTGTTAGCTCCGTACTTGTTGGGACCTTACCGCCAGAGACGGTTATTCGTGGGATAAGGTGAGGTGTGCATTTTCAGGGTCGACCTTCTCTAACCCTACCCCTCCTAGTGGGAAAGCAGCATCGCTTCTATGAATACATCTATGACAACGAGCATTTCGAGAGGGAGAGCGTAATCTCCCCACTCACGGCCGTGCCAGGGCATTTGAGGGCAAGGAGGTGAGGGTGTACAAATTAGACAATAAATGGTTGAAACTCAAAGATCTTAACCAGTAAGTCATCATTGTTCCGCAACAAAATATCACTACAGTTGTTTATTTACAGTTTTTATTAATGAACAGTAAAACCATTGATAATGATAATGAGCATTAAAGAATAAAGTGACCTTGCTTATTGATTATTTTAATTAAACCTGAAAAAATATGAAGTTGTTTACTTTAGTAACACATACTTATCTAGGTTATTTAGATATTTAATTTGAACATTAAAGACGACTATAATTAAAGCATGTTGTTTTAAGGAAAATCTAACATATTTCATTAATGAATCAATGTTGTTTAACTATGGATCTGTAGAGAGTATATAGAGAGGCAAAATCCAACTCACACGTCCCTGTCGTGCCTCCTAGATCATGGCAACCATCTCATATACTAACGTGAGTGATAATGAGGATGGTGGAGATCGATTTAATTAACCATTCTACTAATACCCGAGAATGATTATGAATACTACAAAGAATCATTGTATCACTACTGAGGGTTCAAAAGAGTGGTAAAAAAATGAGTCTGATCAACAAAAAAAACAAAAATGGGTTTTGTTGAGTGTTATGTAATGGTTCTGCGTAAGCAGTGCAGAAATAGCTATCCCGCCCCGGTAGTTGTGTCGTGCTTCGATGTTTCACTATTCTATATAGCTGGAAGGGGGAAGGGCCTTAGTATCTGAAACTTAACATCTTTACAAACTGCACATACTACTAGATGACATCATTATGAGAAAAGTGATGCTATGAAGGTAGCTATAATCAAATATTGACAGCTTCTAACCAGTTTCTTTTTCTAAAACCATCTGTTACAACTGGAAAACAAAACTTGTAAAGTAATGGAAGAAAAATATTCATCAACTAATTACACTGGCCAATAGTGTACAATTTATTGCTCCGCGTTTATGATAGCAGAAACCAGACATATGTCGAAATTATTTGATCTCATGCTTCCTAGATATGTGATTAATAGTTCAGAATAATACATAGTATAATTTTGAGTAAAAGTGATACAAATATCAGAAAGGGGTTTGCAGAGATTTTAGTAATTTTATAGTTGAAATCATGAATCAATTGAAGCTAGACCACTATGCAAAACCTGGAAGCATTAAAAGGCCCTTTCGTCCTATTTTGGGACTTCTCAGCAGTGAGCATGCATGATCCCGCCTCGCGAGCCCTTAACCGATAGACCACTGAGCTGGCATCCAACCGTTTTTATTTATTTATTTAAACACATAAATATCTGTACAAGGTGGCACCATATATATATGCGCCACAGAAAACAATGAGAATGGGAAGAGAAAAGGGGTAAGATGTATGTATAAAAAAAAAGAGTAATGATGGGGGAAACTGAAATGTACAACCAGAAGACTCTTTCATTTAAGAAAGTTAGAACCACTCTATATGAAGAAAGTAAAAGAAGGTTACAGCAGGCTCGCCACTGGTTTCTATTCCGAGCCATACCTGATAAGGTCTCTAGCCACTGTGATGTACCATCTCTCGGACTCCAGCCTGGGAGTGGTGAATGACCAACAGAAGCTAGCCATTCGCACCTTTCTTTCATACCACGACATCATGTCATCCAACGGTGTTAATGTCTAACTTCAACATATAATTAAAATTTCATTTCCTTTCACATACACATTTCCATGAAATAAATGTATTCTTTTTGAATTATGCCAAATTTTTTCCAAAATTATTCACACCAAATGTATCTAATGTAGATATTTTCAAAATATCAACAATACTACTAACAAGTAGCTTAAATGAGTTACTGAAAAAATAATAGGCACTGACCATCCATCTGTAGCTTCTTCGGGGGCTACTGCCGGTCCCAAGCCCGGGTAAAGGAGGAGGGTTGGGTATGGGCTAGCGACCCCATCCCGTAGAAAACGAACTCGTTAAAAAAACGCTAACTAGAGGTCGGCGGCCTATGCTTCATTGGGAGTAACAGGCGTAAGTAAGTATTCATCTGTTCCCAACATAATCTACATGATGATGGTTATGATGATTAAAAACTTTTATTAATGATAGGGTGTGTCAATGTTAGAAAAATTTAATTATTAAACAATGAAATAATGAGAATACATGAGAGGTAAATATAAAGTTTTTTCTATTCTATCCACACAATAGGAGAACAAAAACATCAATAACCAATATATATATATAATGACCTTAAAAATGGTATATATATATGATATTGAAGAATGAATACTTCCATGAATATCAAAAGGTAGACCAATAATGGATATATATGTATACATATACTAAGATGTGTGAATAGAGAAATAAAACTGTATACCAACCAACTCTATCATTATTTGTAGGAAAAGCAAAAATGGTATTGAGAGAATAAAAAGGTGTATTGATGAATGCAGGAGATAAATTATAAGTTGACTAAACTATATAACCCATTTGTGAATTTCAATTCTTTTTAAAATGTTAATGTAATTTCATGAAAGTATACCACTTGAAGAGGAATGAGTTATCGTGAAGGCGATGATTTGCTTGGATTATAATTATATCCTAAAGCAAATATTACTGGTTTTTTTTGTAGAATAGATAGATTTTGGCTAGTACTTACTTACATAGTCCTTTTACCCCCAAATGGAGCATAGGCGGTTGCCAACTAGCATTCCCAACTCACTCTGTTCCTTTCTAGTTCTTTCCAATTGTTGTCCATTCTTCTCATGACTGTCTCCATTTTTCGGTGTAATGTATTCTTTGGTCTTCCTAATCTCCTTTGACCTTCAGGATTACAAGAGAAGATTTGCCTTGTAACGCAATTGAGTGCTTTCCTCATTGTGTGTCCTATTCACTTCCGGCCCTTCTTCCTAATTTCTTCCTCCGCTAGAATCTGGTTTGTTCTCTCTCAGAGTAGGTTGTTGCTGATAGTGTCTGGCCAATGGATCCAAAGTATTTTGTGTAGACAACTGTTAATAAACACTTGCATGCTCTGGATGATGGCTTTCGTAGTTCTCCAAGTTTTCACCCCATAAAGTAGAACTGTGTTGACATTTGTATTAAAAATTCCGAGTTTGGTGTTGGTTGACAATTGTTTTGAGTTCCACATATTCTTCGATTGTAGATACGCTGCTCTTGCTTTACCGATCCGCGCCTTCACATCTGCATCAGATCCACCGTGTTCATCAATGTTGCTTCCCAGATATGTAAAGGTTTTTACATCCTCCAAAGCTTTCCCGTCATGTGTAATTCTATTGATGCATGTTGTATTGTATCGGAGAATCTCACTTTTCCGCTTGTGTATGTTGAAACCTACTGCTGCTGAGGCTGCTGCTACACTGATTGTCTTTTGGCTAGTAGTGGAATGAGTGTTTCGTTCTATTCAAGACTAGTCATTCAGATTGATCTGCATTATATACAATTTGAATCCAATACCTTTCATATCAATCACTCATAAGTAATTCACACAGCTACTGAATTTATTTAGTTATTAACTTGTTTAATTAAATCTTGAATAGTAACAAAAAGTAACTCTATTAAACTGTTTAAAGCGTTCAAAACATATAAACAAAACTTGAGAAGCAATGGATTAGTAATTAAAGCAATCGAATTTTAGTCCCTTATTTGAATACTATCGCATCTACTACAGTTAAAGAGATCGGACAGTATAGTTAGTCCTTAACACTAAGAGTGTGATCATAGAGTTATATCAGATTTTAGAAAAATCAATTAATTGGTATTTCCTGAAGTTCTAATGAGAAGCAGTGACCAATGGAGGTCAACAGGGTCTGTTGTGAGATAGTAACTCATTGAAGACAATGGTGGATGTGTCGCTCAGTTTCATGGGGTAGTTGAAGTTAGACATTAACACCGTTGGATGCCGGCCCGGTGGTCTAGAGGTTAAGAGTTCGCTCGCGAGACTGATAGATCGTGGGTTCGGGTCTCGCGAGGCGGGGTCGTGGATGCGCACTGCTCAGAAGTCCCACAATACGACAAACTGGTTGTCCAATGCTTCCAGATTTTCCATGGTGGTCTAGCTTCAATTGATTCATGATCTCAACTATTAAACCTACTTTATTATCCACAAAAACCCCTTCTGAAATCAATCGGTGTCTATAACTTGTCCACGGATTATATATATATATATATATATATATATATATATATCACATCAACCCCAACTATGTGGTCAGCATCTATCAACGCAACACAAGCCAATAGTTAGTGACTACTAATTGATGCGAAGTTTTGTCATCATCGATTTCCTTCCAACTTACTCTTACACCAACTAACATCGTCTATTGAGGAAGGCAACGGTTCAAGATTTATAAAACACCTGTTTCAATCAATTCAGTCTATGAAAATCCACGACCGTCAATATTTCTGAGGATTCAAATATAAATTTATAAATTAGAACATAGAAACTAACTTGTACTTTATTCCATGAATTAGGTTCCAATTGATTTTCTTTTTGCCATGATGAAGGTATTCCAACAGGTCGGATAAAATCTGATGCAATCGGTGGTAGATCACGTATGAATACAGAATTTTCTTGAGTTAGTTTATCTTGTTTAATTTGATAATTACATTTATTAGAAATAATAGTTTCTGATGGATGAATAGTTCCAAGACCTGATTGATTTGCTTTTTGTAAAAAAAAGTAGATATAAAATCACAATAATTAAGAATATATATTGAAATCAATAATATACAAAAGGATCTATGAATGAAACCCCATTGCACAAGCAAGTGGTTATCAGGACTAAATAGCTGAGTGAATAACGCGATGGCGTTTGGAGCGAAAAGTACTGGGTTCGAGTCCCAGAGTGAACATCAACTCTGAGATCCAGGTACATCCAGCTGACGAGTCCCAAATAGGATGAAACGCGCGTCAAACTGGATTTCACTGTTAGCCACTATCTATCTTTCTTACGCAACTGGAGATAGTTTATAATGTCCGCCGACAGAGGTTTGTTTGCAATAACAGATGTCTCTTTAGTGATATTTCATTCATTGAGATAGACATTGTAAACAAAGATGGATAGTGGCTAGCAATGGAATCAATTTTGACGCGCGTTTCGTCCTATTTGGGACTCGTCAGCTGGATGTACCTGCATCTGAGAGTCGATGTTCACTCTGGGACTCGAACCCAGTACCTTTCGATTCAAACGCCATCGCGTTATCCACTCAGCTACTGAGTCCTGATAGCCACTTGCTTTTTAATAGATAGATCTCAAACTTAATCATCAGGAAAACGTAAGAGAACTAAGCGGATATGAAGAGCTACTAACAAACTTGTACGTTATAACAAGAGTAGTAAAATTATAAATGATTCCTACTTACAACGCCACATTTCTTTAGTTCTCATTACTGGAGCAACCAATTTATTCTCTTGTGTACCAGTTTCAATTAAACGTAATGAAGCTAATTTCTTTCTTGTATTTTCATTGGGATTTTCATTAGAAGGATTATCAGATACAAATGTGTCAACAATATCAGGTGATGATGATGTAACAGCAGACTTTAAAGAACTTTGGTATCTATGAAAAAATGCTCTAGAAAAAAAGGAAATCGTATGGTAATTATAAAAGTATTTCTAAAATAAAAGCTTGTATATTTCAATAAAAGATTTACATTACGAACTGACCTTAGACAACCGCTGAGAACTGAGAAGCATCAGACAGCTGTTTAATCCCCAGTATAGAACTCGTTGACAGTGCCCATCCATGACCCCACCAGGGATCGAACTCAAGACCTTCAGGTCTTCGACAACAGCTTAACCTTCAGACCAATAAGTAAGCATCTATTGGTTTATATTTTTAACTTCAATTCATTAAACATTCTGTAAGACGATCTATAATGTTGAATTTATTTAAAACTAAATAAAGCTATAATACAACAAAGGTGACCTTCTAGTAAAACTGCACGCAGATTGCAACCTGTTTCTGGATAACATTAACTACCGGCACAGTCATCGCCGATATGCTACTTGGAGTCCTCCCTCTGCATCTCAATTCTGGACTCAGATTGATCACATCGTGATCCGCTGCGCTGATGTGGTTGTGTAGAAGACTGCTGCTTCTTTTCGAGTATCTATTTGCATTCTGATCCTCCCCTCTTCGCGCTAATCTTACTTTTTAGTGGCCAAAAAACTCATGTTCCTAAACGGGTTGGTGTTAACAAATCAGTTGCAGCTATATATGAAACCGAGCTAGGTTCAAGACTAGCTACTAGCCCACCGAAAAGTGTAGATGAGAACTGGTTGCAATTGAATGACGCCATAAAAATGGCGAGTAAAGTCGTTCGCGGTTTTGCGAAACCTCCCACTTATTAGCACTGGGTTTCTTCAGGCTCCTTACAACTCATTAAAGTCTGTCAGTCTACACCGGGTGACTGCGAGTTTGATGATAAACAAAGACTATTACCTAATTAAATTGTGAAAAGCTTGTGTAAGGACATAAGAGCCTGGTAGTCGGAGCGTGCCATCGAATTGGAAGCAGCAGTCGCATCTGGCAACTTCCTGAAGCTCTTTCCACTCATTAGAGTCACTGGCAGGAAGAAGCTTGGTGTGAGTAAAACAATCACCAAAGATGACGGGATACCAATCACTAACAATGTCTTGAAAGATGAGAAGAGTTTTCTGAGGAGCAGTTCAACTTCTCTGCTGTGCGGGCGACACCGATCAGACTGTCCTGCCCTTCAAGGCCCGCGACGACTTATCTACCTAACGAGGTGGAAAATCGTGGATCAATTACAGTTAGGCATTAACATTTTTGGACGCCGGCTCAGTGGTCTGCAGGTTGAGCGTTCAACCTGCGAGACTTAAAGTCCAAAGTTTAAGTCTTGAGTGAGGGATTCGTGGATGCGCACTGCCGCTGAGTGCTACACTAGGATGAAATAGCAGTTTAGTGCTTTCTGGCTTTTAATGGTTATCTAACCACAAACTTCATGCATTAAAAAAGCCTTCTTTTGTTGTTATGACTCAAAAATTGGATGGTTTGTGGAGATCCAGTTAAATGACAAAGAGCATTCGATTAGTCTCCCATTTTTACGTGACATCATATTACAGTTCGTCCTAGATTTATCATTTATTTATTCAAACACATAAATATTGGTACAAGGAAGCACCAGACACATAAGCGCCACACAAATCTGATTTGATTTATGTGAGGGCTGTGATACTGTCCAGGTGCCCAAACTGAAGCAGGTGGTTTTCTCAAAGAGCCACACCTGGAGTCTTTGACCTAAAAGTCTGATCCAAAAGGCGGTGGAGCATCGTGAGAAGATGTAGTCCCTTAGTAGCCGGTGATCGACAATTGGTTCATACGCCATTTGTTCCCCCATCAGGATACTGGAACCCATGTGCCCCCAAATGCCCTGGTACGGTCAAGAGTGGGGAGAGTTTGCTTTCCCTCTCCAAATGCTCTCACATGGCCACGAGTATATAGTCTCTGCTACGGAAGCACTACTCACTGCCTTCTCACATCAGGAGTGTTGTTCACGAGATTGAGAGAACGAAAAGCGAATGTCCGGAGCTTTAACCGGGTTGGTGGACAAGGCGAGTCCACCTAGGGGAGTTGGAAAACCCTCATTCCAAACCAATGATGCACATGGGCTAGCTCCAGTATCCCAAAGGAACGAATGGCGTATGAACCAACTGTTAGTCACCGACTACCATGGGACTGCATCTCCTTACGATGCTCCACTGCCTTGTGGACTAGAACTTTAGGTCAAAGGCTCTGGGTGTGGCCTCCTAAGAAAACCACCTGCTTCAGTCTGGGCTCCTGGGCAGTATCATAGCCCTCACACAAATCGAATGAGATTTGTGAGGGGCATATTTATCTGGTGCTTCATTGTACCAATATTTATGTGTTTAAATAAATAAATGTGCACCATTGGTTTGGAATGAGGGTTTTCCAACTCCCCTAGGTGAACTTTCCGTGTTCACTAACCCGGTTAAAACTGCGGACGTTCTCTTTCCATCCTCTGAATTTCGTAAACAACAGTAATGCCACGAGAAGGCAGTGAGTAGGACTTCAATGGCAGAGGATATATACGCTTGGCCATGTGAGAGCATTTCATTCTAGATGAAATCAACGTAGGATTTGGTATAAATGTAAATCACTACTACATTATTTCAATACGAGAGGAAATGAATAAAAACAGTCAATGTAATCAGACTAATAACCGTAGAATCAATGACAGTTGTAAAGATCAAATATTTGAGAATACGAGGTTCACAACAAAACAACTAATGTCAACCCTTTTGAATAAGAAACTATCTTAATAAAGGTATACATAGAGTTCTACAAATATCTAACATGACGTTATATATATATACCTTTGAAAATCCAGTAGGTAAAGTAAAAAATAATCATCAGTGGAAGGAAAAAAGTTAAAAAAGAATATGATGATATAGAGGGTGATAAGGAAACTGTGATTAGCTTTATAAACTAATCTCACCACACATATTCACATTCATATGTATATACATAAATACTGAGATATTTTACTAAAGTAACTTGTTTCTACCTAATCGGATAATCATTACAAAATAACGATAGTTTACATTTACAGTACTGTAAAAAAGTAATAGATTCATCCAAATGTAATTTATGATACATAGTATTACTTGTGAGCAATAGTATAATACAAGTGTACATACATATACATTCTAAGGAGAAAAAAGATAAAGAATAATTGTGGAGACATTCCAAAGAAATAATAACAACTGATATATGTAATTGTTTCCTTAGTAATAAATCACAGAACAGAATAAACTATTAAGATCATCATATAGTAAGTGGTACATTGAATTTGATAAAACTTTATGTTGAATTCTAACATTGTGAATAAAACTAAAGCAAACTATAATCAATCGATCATGGACCCCAAATGCCCTGTTACGGTCGAGAGTGGGGAGAGTTTGTTCTCTCTCTCTTGAAATGCTCTTACATAGCCACGTGTATATAGCCTCTGTCAGGGAATTCCAACTCACTGCCTTCTCGTGTCGAGGGTGTTATTTACAAAATCGAGAGAACGAAAAGCGAAAGCCTGGCGATTTAACGGAGTTGGTGGACACGGAGTCCACCTGGTTACGACTTTTCACTAAAACTCCAGGAATTACCTCAAGGAGCCAGTCACTAGTGAGCATATGATCACTATCAGAATAAGTGTATACTACCTGGTTGAAGTCAGTGTAATTATCTTAACCAGTCGTTAGTTAGAGATAATGAATGACAAGGATCAATATTGTCAGTAATAGTACAACTGCATTCACTTTCTATGGATTGTAAGTCTTTCAATCTTTCATTATTTTTCGATGTTATTTATCCTTAAAACATTAATTCCGAAGGGGTTTTTGTGGAGATTTAATATTTTCATAGTTGAAAAAACGTGAGTTCATTGAAGCTTCCAGGTTTTCCTTGGTGGTCTAGCTTCAATTGACTTTAGCTTTCAACTATTAATTCATTCTCCTTATTACAATCATAATACCAAGAAGAAAAACAAAAAGAAGGCAACACATAAACAAATGATACTTGCATGATAGATTCATAAAGGTTTTTTAATCATAGAAACCATAGACTTTTATGAAAGAATAAATAACGTATCCAAAGAAAATGAAACAATGATTGAAACCATAAGAATTGATTAACTCAAAACAATGGAGAAGAAGAAGAAGAAGAAGAAGAAGAAGAAGAAAAGGCAACGAGTGATAACACAAGACAACAATAATGAGAAACTTTAGAGAGAGAGAGAGAAAGGGAGGTGGGGAGGTAGAGAAACTATGAAGAATCGAATTATTGACCTGATATCAAAACAATTATTATTATTTATATTAGAAAAGTACTCACTGCCTTCTCGTGTCGGGGGTGTTGTTTACGAAATCGAGAGGACGAAAAGCGAATGTCCGGCACTTTAACGGGGTTGGTGGACATGGAGGGTCCACCTAGGGGAGTTGGCTATATCTTTAGAAAGTCTTAATGTTGATGTTTGCTGTCTATCCGAGACCCGTATTCAAGACTCTAGTGAAGTACTACAAATTCGCTCTCCATCTGTCGCTTCGAAAAGCTTGTTTCATGTGCACTTATCCGGAAACTCTGTGGCATCTTCGTCTGGTCTTGCAGGCGTTGGTGTTGCACTAAGCGCTAAGGCTGAGGCAGCACTAATAGATTGGATCCCCATTAACAGTCGGTTATGTGCTGTTAGATTAGAAAGTTCCATCAACGTGAGAAGAAACCGGCGTGAGAAACGGTGTCTTTTCGTCATCTCCGCCTATGCCCCGACAGATTGCAGCCCGGATGCAATCAAGGATGAGATTTACCGCCAGTTAACAGTTCTCCAGAAAGCGCGTTCGACAGATATTCTAGTATTAGCCGGAGACTTGAATGCTCAGGTCGGACGTCTAGGCATAGAAGAGAGTCGTTTAGGTGGCCGATGGGGACTTGTTGGTCGTCGGACAGATAACGGGGACCGTTTGCTGCAACTGTGCACAGACCACAACCTGTTTCTGGCCAGCACTAACTTCCGGCACAGTCATCGCCGGTGTGCCACCTGGCGTCCTCCCTCTGCATCCCAAGCCTGGACTCGACCTAAAGGTCTGATCCATAAGGCAGTGGAGTAGCGTTAGGAGATGCAGTCCCATGGTTGCCGGTGACCAACGATTGGTTCATACGCCATTTCTTCCCATAGGACACTAAAACCTATGTGAACTATTGATTTTGAGTGAGGGTTTTCCAACCCACCTATATGGACCCTCCGTATCTACAAACCCCGTTAATGCACCGGGCATTCGCTTTTTGTTCTCTCAATTTCGTAAACAACACTCCCACCACGAGAAAGTAATGAGTAGGATTTCCCTGTCAGTGTTTTTATGAACGTGACCATGTGAGAGCATTTCAAGAAAGGGAGCTGGCTCTCCTCACTCTCAGCCGTACCAGGGCGTTAGAGGGTCAATCAGTTGAAATTGTCTTAAGAATATCACTAAACTTCATAGGTCATGGGGCTAGTGAAATTTCTTGATAGATTCAGTAAAATTCATTCAAATTTTATCGAGGAATTTCCACAAGGGACCAATTCAACTCATTAAAAGACTTTGTTCTATTGTGTACAATTCATGGCTTAAATTAACGAAAACATGTATAGGGGTTACAAGTATACACAATCATATCATGAAAGCTTTCCTGTTATTTGAATGTCTAAGGGGAATCGGATAACATAAAACTAACTTTGAAAAAAAGTTAACAATAATCCTAAACCTTACTGTCATAACATAGTAAAGTCAGCTACACAAATTCACCCTCGGACATTAAATTTTACTGTTTTAGTCATATTGTTTTTTCCAACCGATTGGCTTGGTATCATAATATCTAATGGAACAGGTGTTATAAAGTCTATAACTGACTGATAATTGATATGATTCCACTTAGCTACAGTTACGTTTAATAAAACAGTTGTAATGATTGTCAATAATGATTGCCTCCAAATGCCCTGGTACGGTCAAGAGTGGGGAGAGTCCGCTCTCCCTCTCCAAATGGTCTCACATGGCCACGTGCATACAACCACTGTCACGGAAGTCCTACTCACTGTCTTCTCGTGGTATTACTGTCGTTTACGAAATTAGCAACACGGAAAGTTCACATAGGGGAGTTGGAAAACCCTGATTGCAAACGAATGGTGCACATGGACTGACTCCAGGGTCCTGAGGGAACAAATGGCGTATGAACCAACCGTTGATCACCGGCTACCATGGGACTGCATCTACTTACGATGCTTCACTGTCTTGTGGGTTAGACCTTAAGATCAAAGGCTCCGGGTGTGGGACCCTGCTTCAGTTTGGGCACTCGGGAAGTATCACAGCCTTCACATAAATCAAATGAGATTTGTGCGGCGCATATGTATCTGGTGCTTCTTTGTACTAATATTTATGTGTTTAAATAATAATAATAATGGTTGCCAACCGAATTGTACTGAAGCATTCATCATTCATTTTATTGTTATTCAAGAGTTGAACAATGGTACTGTAATCATATTTTCCGTTTCCTTTTTCTACAGAATTGCCATTAATCTTTCTCTTTGATGGATAATCTATCCACATTCTGAAGCGGTACACAAGTAACTTTAAACACGTTTATCATAAGTTTAATTAGGTTGCTTATTATACCGTAAATGATAAAAAATTGTAGAAAAAAACGTTACACAACAGTGAAATTAGTAACTGATATAATTGAAGGATATGAAAAGAAAATCCGGTTGACTTTGATCTTCTAAAGTCAGGAGTTATGATTGTATTTGTGAAAGGAAAACTACTTTCAACCAATCTTGTGATTTTTATAGATTCTAATAGAAGACAGAAAATTGTAGGAAAAAATGAAGTATTTAACATTCTGCACAGATGTTTCATAATCACTTCCTTCTGTTTTGACAAGACAGTATCCTTTACAAATACTGGTTATCTAAAGGAAACACCTTATTGTCATAACATAGTAAAGTCAGCTATACAAATTCACCCTCGGACAATAAATTTGACTGTTTTAGTCATACTGTTTACCAACCGATTGGCTTGGTATAGTAATATCTAAAGAAACAAGTGTTCTAACAAGCAGGATTTGATTGGGTTATCATGATAGCCAAGCCCAACTACTACAACAAAGTAGAAAGTAGAACAGGACTCAGTCAATCATTCAGTGATTTTATGAGCTGGTAACACGTACAGGCTTGGGATTATTGCTAACTTTCTTCAAAGTTAGTTTTATGTTATCCATTCCCCTTAAACATCCAAATAACCGGAAAGCTCTCATGATAGCATTAATGAACTATTTATATATATAAAGATATAAATATTGGTACAAAGGGGCACCAGACGCGCCAAAAAATGTAATTTAATTTGCGTGAGGGCTGTGATACTACCCAGGTGCCAAAACCGAAACAGGTGGTTTTTTAGGAGGCCAAAACCCGAGCCTTTGACCTAAAGGTCTGATCCACAAGGCAGTGGAGCATCATGAGGAGATGCAGTTCCATAGTGACCAGAGATTGGTTTATAAACCATTTGTTTCTTCAGGTTACTGGAGCCCATGTGCACCATTAGTTTGGAATGAGGGTTTTCCAACTCCCCTAGGTGGTTCCTCCACATCCACCAACCCCGTTAAAGCGCCAGATATTCGCTTTTCGTCCTCTCATTTTTGTAAACAACACCCCCGCCACAAGAAGGCAGTGAGTAGGACTTCTGTGACAGAGGCTATATACGCGTGGCCATGTGAGAGCATTTGGAGAGGGAGAGCGGATTACCCCACTCTTGGCCGTACCAGGGAATTGTAATATTAAAACTCCAACTGTCATGGAATTCGATCCAAATAAGTAATGATTCAAAGTAAACAATTTCGATAATTCAACACAGTACGAACATAATAGCAAAACTTGTTCAATACTTTTAAACGATTGAGGCCATGTATTGTTTAGTGGATGATAAGTTAAAAACAATTCTATTTTAAAATGTAAGCGTTATACACACCTAGATTATATCATAGCAACTAGAATAGGTTAACAAAAAAATAATAAACCTTTAAATCAAACAATATAACAGTGAGTGATGAATTCCAAGCTGTAGCTGGAACCATGATGTGTCGGTCAGATTTATCTATTGTAGTGATTCAGTAGAGCAATATGAACTGGAACAATTGTTTCTTAAGATCCCAAGCATGTGAGGACAGGTCGGTTGGGGAACAGAAAGACTAAAATTAACATACTCATGGTCGGAGAACGAATTCGTACTGCTGACTCTTCTAAAATGTGACGATAGTAGGCTGTTTCCTTCAGGCGACCAGCGTCTGAAACGGTGCTGCCTGTTAACCTTAACTGATGAACACTTATGCCAGGTTCCACGTTGCGTATGACTGACTAGCGAATTCGGTCCAACATTCCAATTAACAAGAGTCTAAATAGGTATAAGCCACAATAAGAAGCATGAACTTTGACATGGATTACTGGATTCATTGTTTCTATTGACAGTGCTCACCGTGATGGATAATCTAAACATGTCAGTCATTTACAGACTTGACTGGTCGCTTACTGATTTCAGCACTATACACAATCAATCTGTAGGTGGCATGTTCAACTCTATCAAATGCTTCGAAGTTTGAACAGTCGCATAGTACCACTTGTACAAAAACTGTGTACCAAGTACATAAGTGTACACCGTGTGAATTGCCTCTTCGAAGTACAGTACGATCAATCACTATGTCATGTAATTAAAAAAAACAATTTCCATAAAAGTCACACACACACGCAATTAATCAGTCAATAATTTAACTTACTCAGCTCTATCTTCTAACCATAATAAAGGTTTAGCACCAGCACGTAAACCATGAGCATAGATTGAAGCAATTTTACGATAATTTTTACCTTTTTCAAGTAATTGACACCATGTAATATAAAATTCCGAACACATTGTACCAATACCTTGTCGAAATAATAATTCAAATAATTCAATTGGTTGATTACAATATTCTGTCTGAAATAAATGATAATAAAGAAGATTGAATATTATAATTGATTGATCACTGGGTGGTGATCAATGTCATGCGTGTTGATCGAATGCTATCGATCAAGTTGCAATGTAGTCACTAGTCTAGGTGGCTCGACACTGCATGCACTATATATTGAGATAAGATGGTGATTGGAGATGGTCAACAGGAAACCCTGGACCCGGATTTCGTGCTGCTTGGCACTCGTTAGCAAGGTGTACCTGTAATCTTGAGGGAACTGGTGCTCCCTGACGGATTCGATTCCGTATCACTCAGCTTCACAGTCAGAGACGTTACCACCGAGCTATTCAGGCCGCGACTGACTGAATATTTAGAATACAGTACAAAAACACGTAATGAAAAAAGAATGTATAGAAAGGGATACAGCATAAAGGAACTCAAAATCTAAGAGAAAATAATGAGTGGATACATCTGTGTGATTGTAAATCATTCTGAATGGAGTCATCTAAAGTTTTTTTTAACCACTGATCATGGTTATAGAGTTGAATACAGCATAAATAAAGCTTAGAGCATCATAGATGATTAAAAGAAAATAACATACAACTAATGATAAATTGTAGTTTCAACTATCATACAGATACACTTAGTATTGTTTGTTTGAATCTTCCCATTGATGTTTAGCACTGCAACTGACCAGTCTCTTATTGACCATATGTGCATACTGTGCGTATTGCCTCGATAGAGCCTTAATTCACAAGCATGGTAAGCTAAGATGGATAGTGTCTAGCAGTGGATAATGCAATGGCGTTTGAAGCGAAAGGTACTGAGTTCGAGTCGCAGAGTGAACATCAACTCTGAGATGCAGGTACATCCAGCTGAGTCAATCAGCCACAACGTAGGACCGGGCACATTTATGCATCGGTCCAAGTTGCCATACCTACATTAGCACAACAAGATGAACACCTAATTCATAGAATTAGTTAATTTAGTGATGGTAGTATATAAAAGATAGGTTGTATATAAGGATATAGTACAGGAAGAAAGACAGATATGAAGCAATTTTAATCTCAAGGTTTAAGGAAAGACAAAGAGAGTATACACTTACGCCATTGTGATTGATTCTGAGCCATGTCGTCTAGAGTCTTCAACCATTGATTACGATAATCACGCGGACCCCAACCAAATAGTCTGCATCTACCAACATGGCTCAAACTAGAAGTTAGAGACTTTAAGCACTGATGCCATGTTTTGGCTTGGCTGCCTCTTACTCTCTTCCAACCATCCCCTACACTTGCCAGCATAGCGCGTCGTGGTAATCGGTGTTAAGGCATACGTAACACATGGCGCAACCATCTCAGTCAATGAAGATTCATCACCTCATCAACTGATTTACCATCATTCGCTAATACTCTGTGTCTAACCTTACTATTACTTACCCGGTGATCCCAGCAGATGCGAGCAATATTTCTAAGACATTTGTGATCAAATATTAGTACCTTGTGAGTATCTTCTACTCTTAATGGCCATGTTTCACAGCCGTAAAGTAGAACAGAGCGAACTGCTGCGCAGTATACTCTTCCCTTAATTGATAGACCGATATCTCGTCTTCACCATAGGTGACGTAAGTAGGCATAAGTCAACGAGCTTTTCGAATCCGTGGTGAGATTTCGTCAGGCACTAACACATTAGGGCTGATCAGGCTTCCAAGATAAGCTGAGGAATCTCAAATAGGACGAAACGCGCACCAAACTGGATTCCACTGCTAGCCACTATCCATCTTTGCTTATTAGTTAACAGTTAACACCTTGTATATTCATCATTAACAGAATGTATAACACGTCAATAACACATAGGACTTAAATACATGTACATGAAAAATACAAAAATAAAGTACTTTATTCTTTTACAGTTACAATGTTATAAACTCAAATCAAATGAAACAATAAGTACATGCACACACACACACATACAGAGAGCGAGAGAGAGAAAGAGGGATTCACAAGGAAACATGATTTGTTTATCTACCTATTCTGTTTGATATTTAGATACACTTTCAGCGATTACCGGAGAGGATTAAGGAAAAAAAATGATGGGAAAAGGTATTTTGTTTCTATGATAAATGAACAGCAATTCATAATCAAATAAACATCTATATTCATGTGTATATTCAACATATGTTGTAATAGGTATTTTGATCGCGAGGGTGGTGGTGGTGGTGGGTTGTTCTTTTGTTGATGCATTAATCAAGTAGTTATGTTTGCCTATTAAGTCTCATTCATTCATTCCCTTGGTTACTTGTTCTTTTATTCATCTAAAATTGTTTCTATCAGACAAACAATTAATACATTTGAGATAAAAGAGAAAAAAGAAATGTAGACAATGTAAACAAATGATAGGTTAACATTCATTTCATTTGATAAAAGCATTCATGATGACGTTGTTTTTTTTTTAACTAAGAGAGAAAAAAACAACGTTATAACAACAACAAAGGAAATTGCCGAAAGGAGATTTATAATAAAACATCATATATTTGATGATAAACGACTGGTTATATTACAATTTTCAACTCCTCCGAGGGCTACTGCCGGTCCCAAACTCGGATAAAGGAGGAAGGTTGGGCATGGAGTTAGCGACTGCATCTTGTAGAAAACCAACTCGTTAAGAAAAAACGCTAACCAGAAAAAAATTATTTAAATCATTTAAACTCTGCCCTGGGAGTTTCAGGAATAAAGGAAGGCCTAGGACAGAGTGGGTTGGAGCATGCTGGTCGGCGGATTATGCTCCATTGAAAGTAGCAGACGTAAGTAACATATTACAATTTTCTGGTATGTATATATAGATGATGAATTGATAGCCTTATGAGTACAGTACTGAACTTCAAGTTCAAATGTTAATCTAATTATTATCAGTTGAATAAGTGTGAATAATATCAAAGGCTCATAGACAAACATAAATACATGACTTACAAGCTTCTTCAATGTAAGCAAACTGATTTGTTCCTTGTTTTTTTTTTAACCATAAAGCACCATATGAAATGGATGGGGTCTGATTATACGATTTCAGTTTAGCATACACGTTATTTGATTGGAGAGAGACTTTAAATCAACTAATCTCACCTTAGATTCATGTGAGAAATAAAATAATAAAGGCTGAGCTGAATTAGGACATCGTATTTCAGAAGCTTGACAAAAAATCGTAATGTGAATGGGAACACTTATCATCAATTACTTGAGGAATAACGTCACAAGATCCAGGTTTTCTTACAGGGCAAACAGTGACCTTCTCTAACTTTTTCATAAGAGCATTTTCATTACACTTCTCACACTTGAACAGAAAGCATGCACATGCAAATAAAGTACACTACTTATCTCAATATATATTCACATGGAAGATCATTTACTCTACATAATGAAATCAGAAGACTACATATTGATATCGAGTGCTGTTAGAAATGTGAGGATAGTTGTTATTTTCTGACTTTCCACGCCTTGAAAAGATTGTTCTTCACGAAGAACAAAGAAGTGTAAATTAGATTACTTGGTGCCTACACGATCCCTAACGAACAACTCTTTAAAACCGATCACACATACGCTTTACGTGAATGGTCTTTGACCTAACATATCTTAACATTTCAGAAATCCATAAGACTAGGTAAAATCTAGTAAATTTAGCATAAATATCTCTGGTAGTAACCAATCATACAATAACCAACATTTCATTACTTTATTTGTACGTTATTTTCAACCGTTGCAAATAATGAAAACATGAAACACATATTGTTCATCACAATTGATTGATCACCACTCAGTGATCAATTAATTGTGATTACATCTCAGTCCTACAGGAGGTCGGTAGCTCAGTGGTAACGTCTCTGACTGTGAAGCTGAGTGACACGAGATCGAATCCGTCGGGGAGCACCAGTTCCCTCAAGATTACAGGTACATCTTGCTGACGAGTGCCAAGTAGCACAAAACTTTGGTCCAGGGTTTTCTGTTGACCACCTCTAACCACCATCTTACCTATTGTTCATGTTACATTTGATGTTATCACTACAAACTAGATCATAAACCATATATGATATCTTTCTGCCTGATTTGGATGTAATTAAAACATTTCACAATATACATCAACTAAACACAGGGGACTGAGTACACTAGTTGATAAGGTTGTGAATTACCAACAATGTCATTGATCCAACTGTTATTCATCTCCTTAGTTTCTATTCATTATCTTGATTTACTGCTGATGTTTGGATCAACGTACACTTACGCTTACTTTTATGATGATTATGAACAACTCATCGACGATATTGTTATGCCACAATAATAACAGTGAATGGTAACTTTGGGATCTATTTATGGACCAGTATTATGCATATAATTTTTATCGTGTAATCGCTAAATAATTAAACTACTCATATTCATGTTCCCTTCACTGTCAGCTTTATTTTGACCCTTGGACTATTATTGTACGATTTACCATCCCTGAGTTATACCCAGTCTATAAATTACTGCTCCCCCTATTCACAGACACATTTGGCTAACTATTGTATAAATGTTATTTTCTATTTTATTGGTACGATGTGGTCAGTTTGGTTGGTGTATAAACTCAGTATGTTTGAAATACAATGATTCATACCACAGAGGCTGTTATTGGTGTTCTGGACTTAACTGGTTGGGCTAGGCAGAAGCAGGATCGATAAGCGCTCTAGACTGCTCGTACGGTTTTCATGTGTCATGGTTTTAATGGATAATTCGCTGCTCTCTGATTGGCGGTTTTATCACGTCATGCATTAACTAGGCATCCACTTGGCCAGAAGTTATCACAGATATATACAATAAAAAAAAAACACATCAGTTAACCGACTCTACCAAATGTCGGTTAAAAACTACTCAATATACTAATAACAAGTCGAAATCTTTAGCATTCTCTTCAATGTCGACAGTTTGTCCACAGAATATATATTGTGCAATACATTAGACTCACAAGTTTAATCCAATTTCCCACATAAATATCATTGTTTTTTATACCCGGTAAATCGGATGAATCTCGTATGGATCGATAGAGAACATTTTGTAAATCAGCAGATTTACCTAATGAAGGATAATTTTGTTCAATCCATTTGATATATCTTAAGTAAAAAAAATAAAAACAAACAAACGATAATGCATAACAACAAAAAGAATAAGACACATTTCTATCCATTGAGTAACAGGTTGAGATCTCGTTTGATCCCAAATTCAGGCCAGGAAGCTAACGAATCTTATATAGTTGACGAGCCGATGAAAATCACGAATGCAGATAAAAATATTTGTAGATAGATCGCAGTATTGATTATACTAAGTGCAGTTGATTTATCGCAGTGAATCAAGTGGAATATTTTAACGCTTTTCTTTTTGGAAAGGGGTTATGTTTACGAAATTGAGAGGACGAAAAGCGAATATCTGGAGCTTTAACCGGGTTGGTGGACACGGAAAGTTCACCTAGGGGAGTTGAAAAACCCTCATTTCAAACCAATGGTGCACATGGTCTGGCTGCAGTATCCTGAGGGAACAAATGGCATATAAATCACGGGACTGCATGTCCTTACGATACTCCACCGCTTTGTGGATCAGACCCTCAGGTCGAAGTCTACGGTTGTGGTCCCCTAAGAAAACCACCTGCTTTACTTTGAGCACCTAAGCAGTATCATAGCCCTCACACAAATCAAGTGAGATTTGTGCGGCGCACATGTATCCGGAGCTACATTGTGGATATTATGGTAATTTATGAGTCATTTAAAGCTAGACTACCATGGAAAACCTGGACGGCCGTTTATTCCTATCATGGCACTCCTCAGCGGTAGGCATCCACGATTCCTGTCGTAGGATTCAAACCCGGAACCTACCGGTCTCGCTTTTCTGTTTTTAAATTTATAATCTAAGTAATTAGTGAGGTGATCTTGATTTATAAAGCAATGACTGTAAACTCAATCAGCTACTCAATACAATTAGAAAAATCATTAGATTTTTAGATAAGATGTTGGTTGGAGATGGTCAACAGGAAACCCTGGACCCGGGTTTCGTGCTACTTGGCACTCGTCAGTAAGGTGTGCCTGTAATCTTGAGGGAACGAATTCTATCCCGTGTCACTCAGCTTCACAGTCAGAGACGTTACCACTGAGCTATTAGAGCCTCGACCGACCTCATGTAGGACTGTGATGTAATCACAACTAATTGATCACTGGGTGGTGATCAATGTCATGCGTATCAAGTACTTCTTAGTGCTGATCGGATGCTATCGATCAAGTTGCAATGTGGCCAGTAGTCTAGGTGGCTCGATACTGTGAAGCTAAGTGACACGGGATCGCATCCATCAGGGAGCACCAGTTCCATTAAGATTACAGGTACACCTTGTTGACGAGTGCCAAGTAGCACGAAACTCGGGTCCAGGGTTTCCTGTTGACCACTTCCAACCACCATCTTATTTCAATATATAGTGCACGCAGTGTCGAGCCACATAGACTAGTGGTTACATTGCAATTTGATCGATAGCATTCGATCAACACTAAGAAGGAATTGACACGCATAACATTGATCACCACCCAGTGAACAATCAGTTGTCATTAAATGTTTCATTTAGAATGACTTCATTGAATAGAATAGCGTAGATTACAATCATTCACAGAAAACAAAAAATATATATAGTGTTTTTCTTTTCTTAGAAAAACAGGAAACTATGAAAACACTACAATAATGCATAAACACATATAATTTTCTTTAGCTACTCCCAAAACAAAGGTTTGAAACAAAATAGCTAGAACATATGAATCAAATACTCTGTGTACTCTATAAACGTAAACACAGAAAGGATCTATTCACTTTATCTTATATATAGATTTTTCATTACTGAATTAGATAAATCAAATATAGTCTATCCGCCTTACCCTCATTCAATCATTTATTTTCCATAACGTACAACTATTAGATAGACTAGAATATTGAAAGGAACACCATAATGAACATTGTAGTTCAATGATGACTTTAAATAAACAACTTTTTCAACGATACTATACATAAGTAGTAACAAGTAATAGTAAAACTCTTATTGTTTATTTTGGAGCCATTTCACATGGAAATAAACAATAAATAAATATTTATGTATCTAATAGTAATGTCAAATTATTGGCAAGTGACAATCTAAACAACAATGTCATTGTACACATAATACGGTGTGTGTGTGTGTGTGTATAGGATACACAAAAGTGATCAAGATAAAATGTTATCATTAGGAGAGGGGGAAAACAAAAATAAACAAGCCAAACTAAAATAGAAAACCCTAGAGGGGATAAGTGAATCACAAGAAAAAAGCAAATATCGGATAGAATTAACTAAAGGTAATAAAAAAAAGAATATGTCAAAAAGTTTACAATAGTATAAGTGATAACAATCACCAACCGCACCCCACCCCACCCCCTGCCTGTTTACACAAATGTGAACTATCATCAGAGGATATGATACATACAAATAGAACAATACAATAATCAAAATTACTTTATATAGATAAATGGATAAGGAAATAAGAACAAATTATAAGGGATAATTTAGAATAGATGGGTTATAGTTAGTAGTGAAATGCCGGGATAAGGGTTAATATTATAGGTTGGGTAGATGGCTCCTCCTGATACTAATATACACACTTCATATATAAGAACTTAACCTGTTGGTTAAGTCAATAGACTAAGAAAGAAATAGAAGGTTGTACTAGCAAACGATAATGAGATGTACAAACGCATTCGGTATGAAAATGAAGGAATAATGAAATATGACACGATTGACTAAAATTTACAACAGGGATAGTCAAGTTTGACATAATTGATTGATATTTTACAAATGAAGTGTTTATGGTATGATTGTCAGATTTTACTAAAAGATTCTGTAATTTTTGTGTATCCAAATACATTCAATTATCCCCCCACTTCTAATCTTCATCACTACAATTTATTATTTATTTAAACACATAGATATTGATACAAAGGGGCACCAGATATATATGCGCCGCACAAATTTCATTTGATTTGTGTGACGGCCGTGATACTGCCCAGGTGCCCAAAATGAAGTAGGTGGTTTGCATAAGTAGCCACACCCAGAGCCTTTGGCCTTAAGGTCTGGTTCACAAGGCAGTGGAACATTATGAGGAGATGCAGTCCCATGATAGACGCTGACCAACGATTGATTCATACGCCATTTGTTCCCTCAGGATCCTGGAGTCCATGTTTACCATTGTTTTGGAATCAGGGTTTTCTAGCTCCTCTGAGTGGACTTTCCGTGTCTACTAACCCGTTTAATGCTCCGGACATTCGCTTTTCGTCCTCTCAATTTCGTAAACAATACCCCAGCCACGAGAAGGTAATGAGTAGGACTTCCCTTACAGAGGCTATATACGCGTGGCTTATGTGAAAGCATTTTGAGAGAGAGGGCGAACTCTCCCCACTCTCGACCGTACCAAGGGCATTTGGGGGCTGATCACTACAATAGAATACATCAACTTTCTTTATTGATTGTATGATTCTAAGAGTTGTTCAATAACTATACAGAATGAAATCATTGAAAACATATTCTTGTATTCATCAATGAATGAGCATTTTATATTAACTATTTTAATAAAATTTTGATAATGAAATTGAAGATAACAAAAGCAAACTGTCAGAGTGAAAACTATACGAATCAATCAAGAAAAAAAAACTCTCTTAGAAACAAAGAAAGGAATGTAAAGGATTACCCAAAAGAAATCAAGGCAAATAAATAACTTTCATAATAGATCAAAAGATGAATTAGTTCTTTGATTTTTTCAGTTTTAACATCATCATCAATCAATCATTGAAATTGAACAATGAAAAGTATCGTTTATTCGTTTTTTCTTACAATTTTCTTTTTATCTGTCCGTATTGATGTACCCAGCTTGGATTACTATAGAATCATTTCAGATTTTATGTTAATTTTGATTCATTGATGAATTAGTATCAAGTGGACTGGTGTTGTGTCAGTTAGTACTATTGAGGGTTACCCATTAGCTCCGTTTTGACCCCAAATGCCCTGGTACGGACGAGAGTGGGGAGAGTCTACTCTCCCTCTCGAAATGCTCTCACATGGCCAGCGAATATATAGCCTCTGCCAGGGAAGTCCTACTCACTGCCTTCTTGTGGCGGGGGTGTTGTTTACGAAAGTGAGAGGACGAAAAGCGAATGTTCGGCGCTTTAACCGGGTTAGTAGACACGGAAAGTTCACTCAGAGGAGCTAGAAAACCCTGATTCCAAAACAATGGTAAACATGGACTCCAGGATCCTGAGGGAACAAATGGCGTATGAATCAATCGTTGGTCAGCGTCTATCATGGGACTGCATCTCCTCATAATGTTCCACTGCCTTGTGAACCAGACCTTAAGGCCAAAGGCTCTGGGTGTGGCTACTTATGCAAACCACCTACTTCATTTTGGGCACCTGGGCAGTATCACGGCCGTCACACAAATCAAATGAGATTTGTGCGGCGCATATATATCTGGTGCCCCTTTGTACCAATCTTTATATGTTTAAATAAATAATACTACTATTAATTACTTAATTATAGTAGTATTTTAAGTCAATGATTATTCTATAGGCATTAATCACTTTTTCTCTTGGGGGAAATCACTTTTTTTCCCAACAACTCTCTTGAGTTTTTATTTCTCATTCATAGATTCAATATTCATACCCTTCTTATTTATTCATACATACACAATGATACATATATACAAGTATAAAGATAGACTAAGTACAAGGTTATTCAACTACAATGGAGAATGAACTAAATAAAGACAAAAAGAAATTACTCTTATCTCGATTCATTATGGTTTATCAGAAGATGAACTTCATGAAGGAATCATAATAACAGTATTGGTGGTGGTGGTGATGATGATGATGGTCAAATAAAAGGATAACTTGTATTATGTACCCCGTGAATCTTAAAAAGGAGTGGAGAGGTGAACCAACACACATTCAAATATGAATTCTAACCCCCATTTGAATGAAATTTAAGCAATAATACAATCAGAGAGAGAGAGAGAGAAAAGGAGTAGTACAAAGAATAATTAGTAACGAAGTAAAAATTAAAAAAAAAAAAGAGAGAGAGGGAAGACTAGAACAACGAATACTACAATTGGATATACAATTCAATACAAGTAATAAATTACTCTATATTGAAAATATGAATGAAACTAATCATATATTCATAATGATTATATCATTTACAAATACACTTGTAAACTAACTAACTAATTAACTATTATAATAAGAATAATAATCTTAATAGATAATGGTCTTTGGAATAATCAACATATAGAACTATACTACTGATAAAGACTTATGGCCAATAAATGAACGAAATGATACAACAACAACAACAACAACAACAACAACAACAAAAAGAGCTAATCAGATTTGGAATCAAAGAAGAAATGGTATTCGAAAAATATCATCAGACAAAAAATATAGAGAGATTAATGATGGGGGCGAAATAATAAAGAGAGAAGAGTTGACCTCAAAAACAGAGAGAGAGAAGTAACAGGAGGGTAGGGGACAACATGAACAAACTAAAAAATAGATTATTAAAGAGGAAAGAAAAGACTGAAGAGAATAACCGATGAGCGTGTTTTTTTTTTGTATTGTTTAGGATGATTTTTTTTTACTTTTGACCGATATTATCATCATCGATTGGAAACGCGCATAAGCGAAGACATACACACATATGAAGAGATCATTGTAATAGAGTAAAGTCAAAATAAATCAATTTATAAATAACCAGCCTTTTAGACTTAATGTTGCTGGGGGTGTATTCTACATATATAAACCATAAAGTACGTAAAATGTAGAGAGTAAGAAGTAATCATAACATCATAAAGAACATATATCAGTAGATCAGATCAAACAAGATCAGAATAAACTTAAATGATTGAAAAATTAACACAATCAGAGAGAATGATGTGGATTCGTTTGAAGTCTTGAATTATTTATTACGGTTTAGGTACAAAGTTAATTACATTATCATATCTCCTTCTTTAATAAAACGATGCTGATCGAAACCAACGTATTCAAATCTCAAGGGGTTTTTGTAGATAATTCAGTATTTTCCTAGTTGAAATCATGAGTCAATTGAAGCTAGACCACCATGGAAAACCTGGAAGCACTGGACGGCCGTTTCGTCCTATTATGGGACTCCTCAGCAGTGCACATCCACAATCCCACACCCGCAAGATTCGGACCCAGGATCTACCAGCTTCTCGCTGAGGAGTCCCATAATAGGACGAAACGGCCGTCAAGCAGTGCTTCCAGGTTTTCGATGGTGGTCTAGCTTCAATTGACTCATGATTTCAAGTATTTAAATCTAACAGTTTGCTTATGATTTACTATGGATCGGTTAATGGGACAATTAGTTATTCAGTCTAAGTGAATAAACAATTATCCATTCTATAGAGTTGAGATCATGAGTCTATTGGAGCTAGATCACCTTCGAAAACCTGGAAGCACTGGACGGCCGTTTCGTCCTATTATAGGACTCCTCAGCAGTGCACATCCACGATCCCGCACTCGCGAGATTTGAACCCAGGACATACTCCTTCTGATAATTATCCATTCATTCAATGTTTTTGATGGAGTTAAAAAAAACAGCGATTCATTTCCGTCATTGATTTTATAATGGAGAAGTGTTATTTGAAAATACAGCGGCTAATCGCGGTTTTGTTTAATTATATTTCACAATTATTTTGTAAACCATTGAGACTACTAGCTTATTATCAAGAACATAAACTGGATTAATGTTATTCCACTGAGTCGGCACCCAATGGTGTTAGTGTTTAACTTCAACCAATCCACTTTATTGCACGACCATCTTTCATTGTTTTGAGTAGGTGACTGTCTTACACTTCACACGGTTCAACTCCACTGGTTATGGCTTCTCACTAGAACCCCGATAATTACCTTTCGAAGCTAGTCAATAGTAAGCATATGATAATTATCGGTATAGGGTTGTCGAGATTGTTCAATTTTTGGTTGAAATCACTATTCTATTGAAATATGAAGGGTTTCTTTTAAAAAAAGAATATCTTACTTTAATCTGTACTACACAGATAAGTGCATAAACTCTATCTATTCTTATATGGGATGAATCACATTTTTGTGTTATGGCGTAAATCACTCAATACAAACTAGAAAATATTGTTTACATTATTTACTGTGTTGTATTTGATTCTTTTAATTGAGCAAGTAGTTTGTTATTGTATTCTATGCTTATATTATTTTAATAGTTTCAGGTTTCACTTAACAGTGAGAAGCTATGACTAGTGGAGTTGAACCGTATCAAGTGTAAGACCCATCCAAGATAATAGAAAATAAATGTGCAATATCATGGATTGGTTGAAGTTAAACACTAACACCATTGAGTGCTGACCTAGTGGTTTAGAGGTTAAGCATTCGAGCATGAGACTGTAGATTGTGGGTTCGAATCCCTCGCTCGGGATAGTGGATGTGCACTGGTGGGGAGTTCCATACTAGTAAGAAACAATTGTCCAGTGCTGCTAGGTAAACCTAGTAGTCCAACATTGATCAGTTTATGATCTCAATGAAGAAAAATTTTCATGTCGATAAAATAACACTTTCTCAATAAAATCTATCATACATCAATATTCGGGTATTATTATTTAAACACATAAATATTGGTACAAGGAAGCATCAGGTACATATGCGTCGCACAAATCAAATGAGATTTGTGTGAGGGCTGTGATACTGCCCAGGTAGGTGCCCAAATTGAAACAGGATTTGAACACATAAATATTTGTACAAACGACCACCGAATACATATTATGCACCATACAACTAAACTAATTTGTATATAAGCTGTGATACTAGCACTTTATATCATCTTGGACGACACATTAACTATTGTTCCGTTTTACTTTCTCTAAGTTATTGTTAATGACTTATGAATTCATGATTTAATTGTCACATATATGTTGTATTGTTATTCTACTTTACTGGCTATTAGGCAAATGAATGATAATTTCGGTATTAAACTGTAGATTGATCTCTAACCAGTCAAAGTGTATTATTAGTTAAAGCTTAAGGACATTATTCAATAGATTAAATAGTACATGAGGGATAAACAAAGATCACAAGATTCATATTGATAAATCATATTAAGTGATAATAATTAACTATAATTTTGATATATTACAATACTGATTCTTGAAGGGAGAAAATCAGATTATTAAAAATGGTACAATTGCATAACTTTTGTTGATTCATCCAAAAACTTCTTGATTAAAGTTTTTTTGTTTTTTAGAAATCATGCATAATTTCATTGCTTGAAACGATATCATTATACATCTGGTGGTGGTGGTGGTGGTGCATTCTTTTATTGTTTCTCTTAGATACCGGAAAATTATTTATTTAAACAAGGAGATATGAAATAGATATGCGCCATATAAATCATTCGACAACTAGGATATTGCTCGGATGCCCAGATTGAAGCAAGTAGTTTTCTTAGGGTGGGGGGAAGGGGGGAACACCTAAGATTTCGGGGGTGGAAAATTATTTATTTATTTATTTGTAAATAAATAAAATTTACAAGAGAGAAAACTTAGAATAAAAACAATAATTTTCACCTTGAATATAATTGAAATTTTTTATTAGAAGTAGATAAACTGGCCAATTTTAATTCAAAATATCTAAAAGAGAGAGAAAAGAAAAAGAGGAAATTATTATATACAGTTTTGTTAAATAGTAAGTTAGTTTGATGGATTAAAAAGTTTATTTCATTGAATGTGATGAGTCGTGTTACCGATACACCTACTACACTGATAACATCGAAATATTTTTACACATAGACTATGGATTGTAAGTGAAAGAGAAGACAAGTTAAATTAGTTAATAAACTGGTATTTAGATAAGAAATTTTAATTTCCACTAGGCGATGATTCTTTTCTATTCTTAACAATGAATAATATATTTGTACAATTGTAGCATTGAGCAACAATGCCAGAATGTTTGGGATGCGTTTCTTCCTCTCTAAATGCAAGTCGTTAATTTAAGATTGACCTGTGTCAACACCTGAACTAAGGATAGGGAATGAAATAGTCAAACGCCTCGAAAACTCCACTTATCTTGGAAGTTTGATCAACCTTAATGAGTTGACATTTGAAGAAATCTTCGCATGGACTCGAAAAGCTTTTGCCAACTTATGTCACCTATGGTGAAGGCGAGATAGCCGTCTATTCATTAAAGAAAGAATATACTGCTCAGAAGTTCGTTCTGTTCTACTTTATAGCTACGAAACGTGGCCATTAAAAGAAGATACTCTTAAGTTACTAGTATTTAATCCCAGATGTCCTAGAAATATTGCTCACATCTGCTGGGATTACCAGGTAATTAATGGTGAGGTTAGACGCAGGATACTAGGGACTAATAGTAAGTCAGTTGATGGGGTTATGAATCTTCGTCAACTGAAATAGCTGGGCTACGTGATGCATATGCCTGAACACCGATTACCACGACGAGCAGTGCTGACTAGTATTGTGGATGGTTGGAAGAAAGTTAGGGGCGGCAAAACCAAAACGTGGCATCAGTCCATAAAGTTACTATCTTCTGGTCTTAGCCATGTTGATAGATGCAGACTAATTGGTTGGAGCCCACGCGACTATCATAACTAATGGTTGGAGACTCTGTGTGACATGGCTCAGAATCGACCACAATGGCGTAGTTGTATACACTCTTTGTCTTCCCTTAAACCATGAGATTAACATTGTTTTATACCTTTTTTTTTCTACAAACTAATTCTTTCTTCCTGTATTATATCCTTATACACAAACTTTCTTTTATATATTACTACGATTCAAGTAACTATTTTGACGAATACGATGTTCATCTTGTTGTGCTAACGAGGTGTGGCAACTTGAACCGATGCATAAATGTGCCTGGTTCTATGTTGTAGCTGATTAACTATTTGTACAACTATTGAAATATAATTTTCATAAGATTTCACCTAATAAACCTTTACACTAATGATGATAATAAGTACCAGCAAAAGAAACCAACATCTTACAGTTTTCAATCAAACCACTTAGTTAAAATATTAAGTAAAGTACATTGGAATCAAGTAGTTTAATGGTCAATTATTTAAACTTGATCGATATTATCGCCAAAATAATAATAATAAACCTAAGATCTATATAATATACCATAATAAGAGTTTAGTGTAGATCAATTATAATTGGTTGCTAGGCATAGTTTCTCTCTTCTTTTTTTTAAAATTTTTTAACTAACAACCGGAAATTAATTAACCCTAAATGCCATCATCACCATCAACATAGAACCTGACACAATTATGAATTGGATCTAAATGTACATTATAAATATTCAATGAAAATGAACATAACAAGTTTGAAATAAATTCATTTAGTATTGCTTGTTTGAATCTTCCCATCGATGTGTTAGGACTGCAATTGGTCAGTCCTATCAGGACTGAGTAGCCGAGTGGATAACGCGATGGCGTTTGAAGCAAGGGTACTGCGTTCGAATCCCAGAGTGAACATCAACTCTGAGATGCAGGTACATCCAGCTGACGAGTCCCAAATAGGACGAAACGCGCGTCCTGGATTCCACTGTTAGCCACTATCCATCTCTGCTTACCAAATTTGAAATAATTTAGTAACAATGGAAAAGAGGAAAACTAAACAGTGGAAATATAGTTCGAAGAGATATATAGGGAGAAAAGATATGAGTAAAAGAATATTGGAATTCAAAATCCAGAGGAAGATAGAATAGATACAAATGAGCCATTATAAATGACAGTGAGTCGTTTCACCCAAAGCCTTCTACCTACTAATTGCTGTTATTGCACAGACCTAACCAATCAACATGATTCAGAACAACAATTAGTGACTTCACTAAATTGATACTATCCCTTAGTTTAGTTGCCTTAATCCTTCAAGTCATTCGGACACACCAACAAATAACATCAATTGAGATACAAATCTGTGTAGTTACAGAGATGGGCTTCAGTCAATGAATTAAAAAGAAGTGAATCTTCATGCTTACATCAATAGACCACAAAAACAATCTTCACAGAAAATTCTTTAAATAATTAAATGATATATCAATTAGTGAATCAATGAGAATCAAACGATACCGAATATTCAACCGTAGCTATTAACTTGTCGTAGTGATCATACTTGTCTGTTGTGATGACAAAAGCGTGAAATATTGGCTGAAATACTTGTTTTTTTTTAAAGTCCTACTGTGGTGGATGAGAATCCAAGTGGGGTAAACCAGCTTATTGTTTAACCAAAAGTGACACAGTACCTTCGTAAAATATGAAAACCATACATTAAATACATTATTTGCACATCTTCCTTTAATTGTCCTTTACATGCTTTATGATTTTTTTCAATTCTGTTGTTATTGCAATCGCTCACTGTTACATTTCCTGCTCTCTTCAATTTAATTTTCTCAATCATCTGCTAGCAGATATTCGACTTCCGATTACTGTTACATACGAATTATATCTGTCAGCATATACCACACTATCACTTTAAGCAGGTCAGTTGGAAAACGTTAAAACTAAAGGCAACAAACATAATGTATGAGGAAATAATCGTACAATCAACTGTAATAGATCGTGTTTCTATCAGACAATCAGGATCTGCAGAGATTCAACTTTTCCACAACAGAGAGGATTACAAGAGATTGCCATTAAAAGTAGCTCACCTCATCTTAAGTGCTATCCCAGATAATAACTAATTCATCATCTCACTCTAGAAAGTTTTTCAAGTGTGTTTAACCATGAGATCTCCTATTCAATCGAATTATGTATTTCTAGTTTCACGAGCAACATGATACTAATAGGTTATCGAGTCGTAGTTTATGTGAATAAAAAGCGTTAGACGTTTTTTTACACGGAGTAGGCAACCGGTCAGTAACAGTTTTCCAAAGACTTGAGAAATAATCACAATTGATTGATCACTGGGTGGTGATCAATTGTCATATGTGTCAAGTCCTTCTTAGTGCTAATCGAATGCTATCGATCAAGTTGCAATGTGGTCACTAGTCTAGGTGGCTCGACACTGCGTGCACTATGTTCAGATAAGATGATGGTTGGAGGTGGTCAACAGGAAACCCTAGACCCGGGTTTCATGCTACTTGGCACTCGTCCGCGTCAACTCAAGTTGTCATATCAAATCAGAGGAAAACTACGTGAAATACGATCTAAATAAAACTTTGATGATACAACAATCAGTTGGACTGATACACTTTTATTGGTTAATCAAGTCACAAAATAGAATTTTTGCTACCTCCACTTCACCTACAGAAAAAAATTATGCACCTAAAATTCCAATATAAACACTAGATTAGCACTAAAAAAAATGAACAGAATTTCTATAATAATAATAACGATCGCCTGTGAAAAAAAAACAATTTAGACACGGACAGATAAAGTCTGCCTAAAAAATGATGCCTTATTTAGTAACGTAGAGAATAACATAACACTTTTGAAATATATCTTAATCATAACTTGCTTTAAAGTTTACAATATGTATTCTAAGTCTAATTTTATACCTATCAACCATAGGTATTTTTGTCAACATGGCCCCCAAATGCCCTAGTACGACCGAGAGTGGGGAAAGTCCACTCTCACGCGTATATAGCCTTTGCCACAAAAGTCCTACTCACTGCCTTCTCGCACCACGGGTGTTGCTCACGAAATTGAAATGACAGAAAGCTAATATCCGGAGCTTTAACCGGACTGGTGGACACGGCGAGTCCATCTAGGGGAGTTGGAAAACCCTGATACCACACCATTAATGCACATGGTCTGGCTCCAGTATCCTGAGGGAACAAATGGCGTATGAATCAATCGTTGGTCACCGGCTACCATGGGACTGCATCTCCTCACGATGCTCCACTACCTTGTGGATCAGATCTTTAGATCAAAGGCTCCGGGTATGGCCCCCTAAGATAACCACCTGTTTCGGTTTGGGCACCTGGGCAGTATCACAGCCCTCACACAAGTGTGGTGCATATATATCTAGTGCTCCTTTGTACCAATATTTGTGTTTAAATAAAATAAAAATAAGTTTCTTAAACTGAACTCATCGAAATACGGGTTCGAACTAGTGAACTTATAATTAAAATGTAAACGTTTCAATGAACACTTTATAACATAAAAGACAATAAAAAATAACAAAATATTTGATTAATTATTGTTTCTCTTTGTGAACACAAACAGTCTTACTCATACACATAGCAACTCAATAGATGGATATTATAACACATAGATACAATTTCATTATTGAATCAATAATACAATACTGATAAATAATGATCCTAATTATTACAATCACTGATCATAGAAATCTGTTTAAATGATATCTAATAAGTTCAATAACAAAAAAGGTAAAGTATTACTCTCCTAGTAATGGGGGGCGGAGACGTGGAGAACTACGAAAGGCATTATCCAGAAGATACAAGTATTTATTAACAGTTGTCTACGCAAAATACTTCGGATCCGATGACCAGACACTATAAGCAACAATATACTATGGGAGAGAACAAACCAGATTACAGCAGAGGAAAAAATCAGAAAGAAGCGTTGGAAGTGAATAGTGGGCACACTTTGAAGAAATCACCCAATTGCATCACAAGACAATCCTTCATCACATGGAATCCTGAA